ACCATTCCTCGGGAGGAATGGTCACCGGACCTGAAACGTTGCCTCTGATTTCTGTTCACAGATGCTGCCAGACCTGCTGAGCTTTTCCACCAATCTGTGTTTTGGATTCTGAGCATGCCTGATTTTTTAGGAATGTGTTGTAAGTAAAGCTTTTATAATGTAAAGATAGACACATTGTGAAAATTGCAATTATTCCTTAATGAGAAAAATTACTGACAAGTTCAAAATGGTCCTGGTTTAATTATCCTTTGTTTTCAGACAAATGGTAACTTGAAGATTGCATTTGATCTAGACTGTTCTGTAACATGCCATGGGAGATCAACCAATTTGACCCCTTTATTTTTAAACCTTTTATTAAAAACAAAAGTCTGTTAAAAGTTAATTAAAAATTTCAATAACTTAAACACACAGACATGTACAACGGAGTTGTATTTTAATTCATAACTGACATAAGCATCTTGGTTTTAAGGGTAAAAGTTGATGTAAATTATTAATTCCTGCTATGAATCTCTAAAGCAGACTCTTGAGCCTAATGCAACTGAGGATGAAATTCAAGAAGTGATTAAGTATCCAGATGGAAAGGTGAGAGAGTATTTCTGTCTATACTGAATGTTATGGGCATCTTGTAATTTTATCATTTGAGTAACTTTTCACCATTGTTACTAAACCTTCTACTTTTCTAACAAAGCAAATCACGCTTTAAGAGCAACTTTCAAAATCCCTGCTGTGAAGCGATGCAGTGAATGGGTGCGAGAGTTGGACTCTCAAAAGGCTGTTGAGAAGTGAATTACAGCTTTTGAAATGTAGCTCTGCTGAAGGTCTTTAATCAGCTGAACAAAGTGAAAAATCAATTAATTTGTCTACAGGAAAACTTGAATTCTAGTATCTTGTAGGATTTTACCCTAAGAGGAGAAGAGGAAATTGACAACTGGAGAAAGCAGTGAGGGAGACAAGTATTGGCAACAATAGAAAGTGAAAGTCGGGAAAGAATCTACCAGTGTGAAAAGGACCAGATGGGTGTATAACATTAGAAACTGGACAGAGAAACGAATGACAGCCACACTAATGTGAAACTAATAGAGACAAATACCTCTGGCCCCTTGTAAACTATAATTACTAATAAATGGATAGAAGAAAAATTCACATTGGCTGTCAACTCCGAAAAGCCACAAAATGCTTCACTGATGTCATGCAGGGGAAGCTTTAACTTTCAGCTTGTCTTACTATACTTAGTAATGTTTGATATTGACACTACTGCTAAATAGGACAGTGTTCCATTACTTAGAGTTTGCATCTGTTGTCCGATGAACAATCATCCAAACTAAAGATAGGTTAGTAGAAATTTTTTTTGTATTAGGGATCCCAGCAGATTAGATACCATCATGAGTTTATGCTTCTAGCTTTGTGATCCATCTCAGGGATAAGGTGTTGTTGAATCAAGTGTGTTTCCAGTCATATGTATTGATGCAGTAGGTGTGGAAACAATTAACTACTGTCTCTAATTTTCCTATTCCATGGAAAGATACCTTGTCATTTGGTTCAGGTATGTACACAAAAACTAACTGCATGTTGAATCAGAAGTACCCTATAAGCTTGCACATCACTAGTTTGAAGCCCAACAGTGTCATAACTTTTATCGTTCTTGGTTTTGAGGAATTTTGGGTAATCTGTTATGACATTAACAAGATTACAAGAACACTTTCTGTTATGCAATATCCTGCAATGAAATTCTGTGAAAGCATGAGGGTTGAATTTAACTATTGCACACCCCCACTACTTAAAGATAGCAATAAGTATGGTGTAGAACTGATCTCCTTTTAAAATTTATAAGATTTTGCCAACTGAATCACAAGCTCTTTCGACAAACTGTAGGTTTAGAAAATATGCCAAATTATTTTAACTTTTTTCTTTATAGTTTTATTTGCCTGTTAGTTCCTGAGTTTTTCTACCAAATCTTTTGTATTTAAGAATAATTTCTTTTGTAGGTTGAACAGGTGTTGAGAAGTGGACGTCACGTAATTATTTTTTGTAATGGTACCCAAAAAGAAATTAGTGCAGATGGGAAAACTATTAGAGTGACCTTCTTCAATGGGGATGTAAAACAGATGATGTCTGATCGAACGGTGGTAAGCATTAAACCACTAAGATTTTTACATTGACTTGAAATAAACAAAGGCTTGCACATCATTGTTCCTTATTCTGCTGATTAGATAAAAACTTGACACAAAGTGACCTTGTTTTTTTAAGTTATATATAAATGCTATACATTGAAGACAAGAAACAAAGTTAAAATTTTCATGAATGACCAAACTCACTTGGACATATGAAGTCAAACCTGATCTGCTTTGTACAGTAATTGGAGGGGCTTTATATTATAATATTGACTCCTGCCAATGTGCAAAATTATCCAGGTATGTTCTCCTAGAGGTCAAAGAGTATTACAGCAAAGAAAAAGCCTCTTACTCTCATCTTTCCATCAATCAAGCATCTATCTACTGATCCCATTTCCTGGCATTTAGCCTTACATACAACAATGTTTTAAATGTCCCTCTAAATACTACTAAAATGTTGTAACGTTTCCTCTCTCTATCACTTTCAGGCTACAATCCTGAGTGTTTGCTTTCTCAGCTCCCCTCTAAACCTCCTGACCCTTAGCTTAAAACTGTGCCCTTCATCATTCATCCCTGCATCACACTGCAAAGTGACTTCTTCATAAACATTGTAGTACCTCAGCTATTGCTGCTAGTCACTTTGATTCTAGAAAAAGCAGTTTCTTCCTTTGTGCCCCGATGCTACTATATGTTCTTAGCAATGATCTTGTGTAAAAGTTCACACTCTTGACAAATTAGGCAAGAACTTGGCAAAGTATTTCACAAATCATTGCTAACACAGCGTGGAGCTGGAAGAGCACAGCAGGCTAGGCGGCATTAGAGGAGTAGGAAAGTTGACATTTTGGGTTGGAACCCTTCTGAAGGGTCCTGACCCGAAAAGTTGACTTACTTGCTCCTCTGAGGCTGACTGGCCTGCTTTGTTCCTCCAGCTCCACACTATTATCTCTGACTCCAGCATCTGCAGTTCTTACTATCTCTGAACAAATAATTGCTCTGCTTTCACATCTGTTGGTTGTGCATTCTTGCTACAGCCGTCACCTTGTCAGGATCTAGGCAAAGTCCTTTTGTTTTTAGTCACATGAGCGATGTACTTGAGTTCAGGCACCTTCAACTACCTCAACTTGTTCAGCCTCCGGTTTATCTGGCAACCGATCTCAAGTAGTCAGTAGATTCTGATTGTGAATTGTGATGGTTTCTTCTGCTGTTTCTCCACATTCATAGATTAGTAGATTACCACTGTGGGAAGATTACTTGCCATCTAATGCTTTCTGCATTCAAACTGTTTTTGAGCAGTGGAAATGCAAATATCTGGATCTCCTGAATGGCACCCAGAATGTAGTTTTATAAGAACTGTTTTCATCCAGCTTCACATGTCAGCAATCATTCTTTGCATCAGTAGCAGTAAAGATATTTGCCTTGACAAATTATCGATCATTGAAGAACTTTTGCTATAATGGGGATGAGAGAGAGGTCTTCAAAGCTTTGAAGAGATCCTTTAGATCGATGCGTACTCTTTCCAGGTTTTGTCACTGCTACGATGCTGATAATCCAGTGTGTGAGGGTTGTAATTTTCTTTTTTACTCCCTTCTCTTCCACCTCTTTGATCTTATCTTTCAAGCTGCACTTGAAGACAGCTGGAACTCTCCTCAGCAGATGTGGTGTTAGTCTCCCCCTACTTCAAGATGATACTCATTGGGAAGATATCCAAAAGATTTTCCATTGTTTTTAACTGTCAAATAAATCCTAGATGATGATGGCTTAATTACCTGCAAAATGCTACAGATCTCTTCTGGTACATTTGAGTTACTAGTTCAATCATTGGACTTGCTTCAGCTGAGTGGATTTTGTTTAAATGTCTACTATCTAGAACTCTGCACTCATCATTCTGATAATGATAAATAATTATTTATCATTTTTAGACTTGATGTTGCCAACCTGTTAGATGGTGTAGTGATTTGGCAGAATCATTGCTGACATACCACAATACATCTTTATAGGCTTGCTTTTCTTTCTTTGCAGCTAAACACCTGGGTGCAGTGATTCAGCTTCTTGCAGTTAGTGTACTGCTTCCCCCATATTGGGCATCGTTCCTGAGGTAGTCTCTTAATTGCCCAAACTTTCAGGATTCAGCTAGATGCATTAAGGGAGTCATGTACTGATCAAGTCTCTCTCCCCTTAAGCCCTATGTTGAACAGATACTATTCAAAAGTAATATTAACGTGAGATTCAAAGTCTGTCTTTAAAATCTCTGCAGTTTGCCATTGTTCAGTGCAATCCAAGTGGCAATATAGCTGTAGCATTCTTTCCCCATCATCTTTAGCATGGTTGCTGTTATCTGCTCAGGGTTTTGCAATGAATTATGCAACTATATAGTAGTTCGAGTGTGGAATATTTTCTGTCTATATCCATAACAGCAAGGCATTGAAAATGCACAGCCATTTTGTCTCACCCAGCAATTCAAAGCTGCAGACATTTTAAAAAAAAAAAAAAATTCTCGTCGTTTCTTTCAATATTTGCTTTCTTACATTTCTGAAAATCTTCATATTTTCACCAGTGCGTTCCTTGATGCCCTTAATAGTAGCTGGTTCCCTTACAATTCTGAAACTGTGCATATTTTCAGTTAGACCATTCCTGACATCATCTGTGTAAGGGCAGTCACAGCAGAGACTGAGGTAACGTGACTGTTGCACACCATCCAGTACACTAAATAAATTGCCTTTCTCAAAATATGTACCACGTTCAAGATAAAAACCGAAAGAACTGCGCATGCTGTAAATCAGGAACAAAAACAAAGTTGCTGGAAAAGCTCAGCAGATCTGGCAGCATCTGTGAAGAAAAAAATCAGAGTTAGAGTTAATGTTTCGGGTGTGGTGACCCTTCCTCAGAACAGGACTTCCTCTCAGCAGACTATACCACAAGCAGTTCAAAGCAGCAATAGTTCACTAACACCTTAAGGGCAATTGGGGATGGGCAGTACATTCTGACCTAGCCAGTGGTGCTCATTCTTCAAGAATGAACTTAACACTGCCATTTCAGTCTTTGCATTTTGCATGCTTATGATACACTTTAATTGTAACCAAAAAAATTACTGATAGTAACATTCAGTAAGACAAATATTCTGAGCAAAAGTCATTGACCCTAAGTGTTAGTTCTGTTTCTCTTTGCACAGAGGTGGTCTGGACTACTTCGTGTTTCTATCATTATCTGTTAATGGTTCAGATTTCCAACGTGTAAAGTTTTGCTTTTGTAGTTACTGGTTTTATCACGGCTATGATGATTAATGATCTCAAAACAGATTTAAATAATTCATACCAGATCTTTGGTTTTAAATCTGGAATTTACACCAACCTGACATTTTCAAATGTATTTCTTTCAGGGTATGATTTTGTGTTTTTTAATAAACTTCATGTCTGAAATATTGCTTTTACACTTATTTGTTTTATTTGGGGAGTTTGCTAAATTGATACCATGACTGTAAACTGTACAAATATCTTGTACAAATGACCTTAATCTACTAAAATAGCAACCCCAATGATGTGAACACAATAAGTGAGCTGAACATTTTGAAAAAAATACGTAAATATGGATAGCCTCCATTAAAAGTCAAGATTGCCAGGAGACTGTAAAAATGTGATTTGGTCCATCTGAATTCTGCACTATTTTGTCCACAAGCTACCTAGCCTTTCTTGATTCACTTGCTCTTTCTTCCCATACCCTTGCATATTTATTATTTGCCTGGTAATTACAGAGTTCACTTTTAGTATAATTTATGAACTCAACATCAGCTAGTGACAGAATTCCACATCTAATCATTCTCTGAAGATATGTTTTCCAACCTGCCATTTAATTTTTGTGATTACTTTGAGTTTGTGCTCTTTATTGTTGTTAATGGTAAGTTACTTGTTTCAACAGATATACTTTTATGCAGATGCACAGACAACACACACAACCTATCCTGATGGTCTAGAGGTTTTACAGTTTCCAAATAATCAGATGGGTATGAAAAGTATTAATCCTTCAGGCTTTCAATGTTTATATGTTTTAAAATATATTATCAAGGTATTCCATAATGGAAGCCTGCTCACAAGTTATCTATTTTTATAGTAGATTGTCAATGCTTGTATTAAAATAACATGATTTTACAAATTTGTTATTTGTGTAAGTGACCAATGTTATTTGGGCTAACTAGTTAAAACATCTAGAAATGCAGTTCATTAATTACACTGCATCCGCTGTAGAACTTGCAACTCTTTTAGAACCTCCTACTCCTGTGCTGGATAAACATGATCAACACAGCATTACAAGTAGGTTGTCTATGTGGAACGAGTTCCTAGGAAACAAATTAAATCAGTCCACCCTCTTATTGTATATGTGGGAGAAATGTTCTGTCTTCAGTTATTGGCTCAGTTTTGACAAAGACTCCACCTTTTTCCTCTCACCATTATTAATCTTTGGAATTATGTTCATGTACATGGGGTTAGATGAACCAAGGAATTGAGAGTTATGGAGACAGGCAGGAGTAAAGAATCAAGACCACAAGCAGATCAGCCATGATCGCCAAATAACCTACACCACCTATTTCTTATCATAGGGTACATAAAGTCATGTTTGGGCTGACAGTGGCAAGTAACACTACCATGCAATGAGCATGTCCAACAAGAATGAATCACCTTTTGACGTTCACTGGTACGACCATCTCTGAATCCCCCAGTGTAAACATCCCGAGAGTTATAATTGACCAGAAATTGAACTGGACTAGCCATATAAATACTGTGGCTACAAAAACATCATTAGAATATAACAGAAGCAGGAGGTAGACCATTCAGCTCTTCAAGCCTACTCCACCATTCACCAAATTTATGACTGATCTGGTATAGGCCTCAACTTCTCTTGTATGCCAGCTCAGCTTGGTTGACAACTTTGATATTTCAAAAATAAATCTACTTCCTGTTTAAATACTTCTAGTAATCTAGCCTCCATAACCCTCTTGGGTAGAGAATCCATGACATTCTGGGAGAAGAAATTCCTTTGCATCTCATTTCCCCACTAGTTGAAACATCATCTCGACATCGATCTTGTATGCTTAAATAGGATCACCCTCATTCTTACGAACTCTAATGGTTAAAGGTCTAACCTGGTTTAAAGGGTCCCGACCCGAAACGTTGACTTTCCTGTTCCTCTGCTGCCTGACCTGCCGTGTTTCTCCAGCTCCACACTATTAGCTATTCTTAGTCGGTCACTCCATCCCAGGAATCAGCATAGTGAATCCCTTTGAACAGTGTCCAATGCCAATATATTCTATTATATATGGGGTTCAAAACTGTACACAGCATACCAGGTTCGATTGCACCAACACTCTGTACAGTTGCAACAAGACTTCAAACGCCTAAAAAGGCCAAAACTCCATTTGCTTTCTTAGATTACTTGTTATACCCGCATGTTAACATTTTGTTTTGTGCGCAAGAACAGCGATCCCGCTGCACTGCATTTTTGGGGTCTCTTTTCATTTAAGTAATAGGCTGCCTTTTGATTCTTCCTACCAAATTGCATGACATTAGAAACAAAATCAGAAGTCTGAAGAAGGGTCACTAGACCCAAAGCATTAACTCTGCTTTCTGTCCACAGATGCTGCCTGACCTGAATTCTTCCAGCATTTCCAATTTTTTGTTTTTGATTTCCACCTTGTGCATGTTTTTTTTGTTTAATGCATGACATTACACTTTCCTACATTTAAACTCCATCCACCAGGTTTTTGCCCAGTCAACCTATCTAGTTTCTCCTTATCTCCTCATTACAACATGCTCTTCCACCTATTTTTGTCTCATCATCAAATCTGCAATTATTACACTCTGCCTCCTCCTCTATCTCATTAACATTGGTAGTAAATTGTGATCTAAAGACTGATCCTTGTTATTCCTAGTTTTGTTTCTCCAACCTGAAAAAGACCCATTAACCCCAATTCTACCATCTGTTACTTAATCCATACTAATATTATCCCCAATACTTTGAGCTCCTATCTTACGCACTTTTTACGTTGTGCCTTCAAGGGATCCAAATGTACCTAATTTACTTATTTACTTATTCTCCTTTTATCTCCACTGTTTGTAATATCCTCAAGGAACTCTTGCAAATTTGTCAAACAATGTCCCTTTCACAACGTCTCATATTTTTTAACTAGAGTCAGCATGGATCTGTAAAGGGGAAATCATGCTTAATGAATTTATTAAAAGTTCTTTGTGGGGTTAATGAACAGATTAGATAATGGGTTGCCATCTTTGGATTTCTAAAAGGTGTTCAATAAGGAACTACACAAAGCTACTTAAGAGCCCATGGTACTGGGGCTAGTATTTTAGCATAGATAGAGGATGGGCTAACTAATAGAAGACCAGAGTTGGAATAAAAGGGGCATTTATAGATGGCAACTTGTAACTTGAGTGCTGCAGGGAGTAGTGCTGGGCCACAATTATTTGCAATGTATGTTATTTACTTGGATGAGGGAAGTGAATGTACTATTTCCAAGATAGTAGGAAGGGTCTAGGCCCGAAACGTCAGCCTTCCTGCTCCTTTGCTGCTGCTTGGCCTGCTGTGTTCATCCAGCTCTACACCTTGTACTACTTCCAAGTTTGGGTTATATAAAAATTGGTCGAAATGCAAGTGGTGAAGATGACACAGTCGACAGAAGGTTTTAGACAGATTTAGCAAGTGGGCAAAAACTTGGAAAATAGAATTTAATGTGGGTAAAATTGAGGTTTTGCATATTGGCAGAAAGAATAGAGGAGTTGACTATCGTTTAAATGAAGAAAACTGCAGTGCATAGGGATTTGGAGTCCCTTGTGCATAAATTACAAAAAACTAGAACACAAGTTCAGTTGGTAATAGGAGTGTTGACCTTTTATGTCAAAAGGATGGAGTATAAAAATTGGGAAGTTTTTGTAAAACAGAGGTACGTGTCAGACCACATCTAGAGTTTTGTGAACAGTTTTGGTCACCTTATCAGAGGAAAGGCATAATGGCAGTGGAAGTCGTCCAGAGAAAGTTCACTAATTTCATCCTGGGTATGGAGGGATTTGCTTACAAGTAGGTGGGCCTATAATCATTGAAGATTAGAAGATGGAGAGGTGACCTTATTAAAACATGTAGGAATTTTAAAGGGCCTGACAGGGTAGATGGTGAGAAAGTAATGGATCCACTGCTTTGTCATTTTTATAAATGATTTGGATGTGAACATAGGAGGTATGAATAGTAAGTGTGCGGATGACACCAAAATATATATAGTGGACAGTGAAGGTTATATCAGAGTACAGTTGGACTTTGATCAGATGGGCTAATGTGTCCAGGAGTGGCAGATGGAGTTTAAGTTAGATAAATGTGAAGTTGACGGCAAACCAGGGCAGCATTTATATACAGTTAATGGTAGGGTCCTGGGGAGTGTTGCCAAACAAAGAGACATAAGGGTGTAAGTGCTTAATTCCTTGAAAGTGGAAAGTGAATTCTTAGGGTGGTGAAGCAGGCTTTTGGCACGCTTGCCTTTAATGGTCAGAGCACTGAGCGTAAGAGTTGGGACATCATGTTGCAGCTGTACAAGACATACAGGCCACTTTTAAGAGTACTGTGTACAATTCTGGTCACCCTTCTATAGGAAAAATGTTGTTAATCTTCAGAGGTTGCAGTGAAGATTTACAAGGATGTTCCTGGGACTGGAGGGTTTGAGTTACAGGGAAAAGCTGAATAGGCTGGGGCTATTCTTCCTGGAGCATCAGAAGCTGAGGGTGATGTTATAAAAGGTTTATAAAATCAATAGGGGCATGGATAGGGTGAAAGCCAACGTCTTTTTCCTAGGGAGAGGGAGTCCAAAGGTAGAAGGCATAGTTTTAAGGTGAAAGGGGAGAGATTTACAAAGGACTTGAATAGTTAATTTTTTTTTTTTTAAAAACGCAGACTGTAGTGCATGTATGGAACGAGCTGCCAGAGGAAGTGGTGGAGGGGGTACAATTACGACATTCAAAAAGCATCTGGATTGGTATATGACTAGGAAGAGTTTAGAGGCATATGGATCTAATGCCGGCAAATGATACTAGGTCAGATTAGGATGTCTGGTCAGAGTGGCGGAGTTGGACTGTAGGATCTGTTTCCATGCTGTACAACTCTATGACTAAGTTTCTTCTGTTTGTATAAGAGTCTAGAACTGGAAAGCATTGTCTTAGAGTAAGGAGTCACCCACTGAAAACGCAGATGAGAGGCATTTCTTCTGAAGGGCATGAATCTGGAGTTCTTTACAGCCAAAAGCTGTGAAGACAGGATCAGTGAATATATTTAAGACTACAATGGACAGATTTTATAATAGACAAGTGAATTGAAGGTTAAGGGAGTGAAGTCAAGGATCATCGGGTCAGACATAATCTCATTGAATGGCAGAGGTGATTCAATGGACTGAATGGCCTAGTGGTATTATCGCTGGCCCGTTAATCCAGAGACCCAGATAATATCCCAGGGACCAGAGTTCAAATCCCACCATGGCAGAGGGTTTAACTTGAATTCAATAAAATATATCTGAAACTAAAATCTACTGATGACCGTGAACCCACTGTGAACTATCAGAAAAACCCACGTGGTTCACTAATGTCCTTTAGGAAAGGAAACTGCCATCCTTACCTGGGCTGGCCTGCGTGTGACTCCAGACCCACAGCAATGTGGTTGACTCTTAACTGCCCTCTGGGCAATTAGGGATGGGCAATAAATACTCCTTGGTCAGCGATGCACTCATCCCCTGAATGAATAAAGGAAAAAAATACTTCTGCTCCAATATCTTGTGAACTTTTACTGGTGAAACTAAGAGAAAAAGTGGAGATGAATTACTAAGTGGTTCACAATTTTGGTGTTCAAATTTGTACAAACACCAGAGAAACCTACCAGTCTAATCTTTGTTTTTATTTTCAAATTTCATGAATTTCCTGCTATTTGTGCAAGTATCACAGCCAGTTATCATTTGGATAGAATTCATGCTGTGGGAAGCATTTCTTTATGGAAGTGGACCTGAATCTTATGTTTTAAAAAATTTTAAAACGTTTAAGCTATATTAGAAGTGTTCTTCATGCTGCAATTTAGTGATTTGAGGAGACATGCATCAAGTATCTGGTAGAGACCTGATACAGAGCAGAGACGTGTTCTGCAACTAATTGCCAATAGCACCTATAGTCAAGTGCTTTTTGTTCTTCCATTTCCTAACAGGCAATTTCCAGTTGAGTGGTAAATGGACCACTCGTCATTCCTTTCATATTCAATGGAAATACCACTTTTAACAAAACTTGCATTAATACAGCACCTTTTAACATGTGAAAACTTCATGATACCTCACATGTAAATAACAATTAACACCGAGGCAGTGAGAGAGATTAGGTGGAGTAACCAAAAATTTAGACAGGTCTTAAGGGCTTAAAAAGGAGAATAGGGAAATAAGACAAATTCCTAACATTAATGCAGAAAAAGGATTAGTGGCATAGAGGTCTAGAAGGATTGTATGGATAGGAGTCAATTATTAAAAATAGAGGGGTAAGAGTACTGAGGAAGTTTTGACACAGGATTCAAATTTTAAATTGGTGATATTGGAAAACTGCAACCAGTGTAAGTCAATGAGAATGGTTATGACAGATGAGTGGGAACTAGGATGAGATGTAGTCAGCAGAGTTTTAGATGAGCTTAAGCTTTTACATAGTTATCTAAAAGTGACAAAATTATGATTGAGGATTTTGACAGGATGGTTGAGTTGGGTAATACTATATTGGCTGAAGTACACTTTCTTTGTGACTGAGTTGATACGGTGGTGTTCTCAGCACAAAGATAGATTGCCAAGTATCACAAAAACAAGTTTCAGCATTCTTTCATTTACGTCCTGCTACAACATTAAACTTAGCAGCTATTTGCTGGTGCAGACTTTATAAAGGCCAAATTCTGTATGTTAGGAGTTGGTTTTCTTTGTAAAAGCTACCGATATTGCTGCTATTTTAGTGGCCACTTATCCATGAGCATCACTGCACACAGTTGATTGGAAAATCCCCCTTAACATTATGAGAAAACTAGTTACAAATTTGAGCTGTATTGGTCCCAATATTTATCCTCACCACATTATAAATAAATGAGCAGCTTTTATTTTCAGTATCTGAGGGTTTGAGTTAGAGAGAGGCTGGAACATTTTTCACTGGAGCATAGGAGATTGAGGGTGACTTTAGACAATTATAAAATCATGAAGGGCAGAGATAAGATGAATAGCAAGGGTCCTTTCCTTTGGGTGGGGGAAGTTCAAAATTGAGGAGGAAATTTTGAAAAGGAGGGGCAATTTTTTTTTTTTTTTTTTTTTTTAAAAAAAGTGTTTTGTGTGGAATGAACTGCCAGGAAGTGGTAGAGGCAGGTACAGTTACAATATTTAGAACTCATTTGGTTAGGTACATAAGTAGGTAAAGTTTGGAGGGATATGGGCCAAATGCCAGCAAGTGGAACTAGTTTTAGTTTGGGAACATGGTCGGTATGGACTAGTTGGACCAAAGGGTCTGTTCCTATGCTGTATGACTATGACTATGGCAACTGAAGATAATTTAAACATGTTTTTGAGAGCAAGATCCATTGTGTCATCTGCAGCTAAAGGAGATTGTTTCACTTAACTGAGTTTGAGCAGCTCAAATGGGAATTTTTTAAAATTAACTAAAGGGAGTGTTGACCTGCATTCATCATTTCTGCAATTATCACTAATATTGGTAAATCTACTGCAAACAATTTTGCTTATCTTGCTGTATGGAACCTCTCGAATGTTATTTTGTATGTTTTTCTTTCAGCAATTTATGCACAATATTTCCATTTTCAGATTCAACGGGCTAGTAAGTTGTATATTTGGAAAGTTTTTCAAGAGGATAAATGTTTTAAATAAACTGCAGGTTTTAAAATTCTAGCTGTGATCAATAGCAAGAGTACATGGGAAAGTATGAGATAACAGGGTGTAGAGCTGGATGAACACAGCAGGCCAAGCAGCACCAGAGGAGCAGGAAAGCTGACGTTTCGGGCCTAGACCCTTCTTCAGAAATGGGGGAGGGGGAGGGGAAGGGGAAGGGGAATCTGAAATAAATAGGGAGAGAGGGGGGAGGCGGATAGAAGATGGATAAAGGAGAGGATAGGTGGAGGGGAGACAGACAGGTCACTGAGGCAGGGGTGGAGCCAGTAAAGGGGAGTGTAGGGAGGGGATAGGTCAAGGGGGTGGGATGAGGCTAGTAGGTAGGAGATGGGGGTGGGGCTTGAGGCGAGAGGAGGGGATAGGTGAGGCGGACAGGTGGGAGGAAGGACAGGTTAGGGAGGCGGGGACAAGCTGGGCTGGTTTTGGGATGCGGTGGGGGGGGGGGGAGGGGAGATTTTGAAGCTTGTGAAGTCCACATTGATACCCTTGGGCTGCAGGGTTCCCAGGCAAAATGTGAGGTGCTGTTCCTGCAACCTTCAGGTGGCATCGTTGTGGCACTGCAGGAGGCCCAGGATGGACATGTCGTCTGAGGAGTGGGAGGGGGGAGTTGAAATGGTTTGCGACTGGGAGGTGGTGGTTTGTTGCGAACAGAATGTAGGTGTTCTGCAAAGCGGTCCCCAAGCCTCCGCTTGGTTTCCCCGATGTACAGGAGGCCACAACTGGAACAACGGATGCAGTATACCACATTAGCAGATGTGCAGGTGAACATCTGCTTGATGTGGAAGGTCTTCTTGGGGCCTGGGATGGGAGTGAGGTGTAGGGGCAGGTGTAGAACTTCCTGCGGTTGCAGGGAAAAGTGCCGGGTGTGGTGGGGCTGGAGGGGAGTGTGAAGCGGACAAGGGAGTCACGGAGAGAGTGGTCCCTCCGCAAAGCAGATAAGGGTGGGGACGGATTGCAGATGGCAGAAGTGTTGGAGGACGATGGGGTGGTACGTGAAGAATTCTGTTTTGGTTGTTATTGCAGGGAGGGGGTGCGAGGGATGAGTTGCGGGAAACACGGTCGAGGGCGTTCTCGACCACTGAAGGGTGGGGGGTGTTGCGGTCCTTGAAAAATGACGACATCTGGGATGTTTGGGAGTGGAATGCCTCATCCTGGGAGCAGATGTGGTGGAGGCGAAGGAATTGGGAATAGGGGTGGGAGGAGGTGTATTCTAGGTAGCTGTGGGAGTTGGTAGGCTTGAAATGGATATCGGTTTCCAGGTGGTTGCCAGAGATGGAAACAGAGATCCAGGAAGGAGAGAGGGGTATCAGAGATGGTCCAGGTGAACTTAAGGTTGGGGTGGAAGGTGTTGGTGAAGTGGATGAACTGTTCGAGCTCCTCGTGGGAACATGAGGCGGTGCTGATACAGTCATCGATGTAATGGAGGAAGAGGTGGGTTGTGGGGCCAGTGTAGCTACGGAAGAGGGATTGTTCCACGTAACCTACAAAGAGGCAGGCATAGCTTGGGCCCATGCGGGTACCCATGGCCACCCCCTTTGTCTGTAGGAAGTGGGAGGAATTGAAAGAGAAGTTGTTAAGGGTGAGGACGAGTTCAGCTAAGCAGATGAGGTTGTCAGTGGAGGGGGACTGGTTGGGCCTGCGGGACAGGAAGAAGCGGAGGGCTTTTAGGTTGTCTGTGGTAAAGATGAGGTGTTGGGGACCGGGGAATTGGCAGTTTTGGGGGAGGGGGAGGTGCAGGGCATGGGTGGTGTCATGGACGTAGGTGGGGAGTTGCTGGACCAAGGGGGAGAAAACGGAGTTGAGAAGTTCAGTGGGGCAGGGGCAGGAGCAGGAGGAGACAATGGGTCGACCAGGGCAGTCAAGTTTGTGGATTTTGGGAAGGAGATAGAAACAGGTGGCGTGGGGTTGGGGAACGATGAGGTTGGAGGCTGTGGGTGGGAGGTCACCTGAAGTGGAGGTTGTGGATGGCTTGGGAGATGATGTTTTGGTGGTCAGGGGTGGGGTCATGATCAAGGAGACGGTAGGAGGTGGTGTCAGAGAGCTGGCGTCTGGTCTTGGCGCTGTAGAGGTCAGTGCGTCATACTACAACTGCGCCTCCCTTGTCCGCAGGTTTTACGGTGAGGTTGGGATTGGAGCAGAGGACTGCACATTCTGTGGGGGAGAGGTTGGAGTGAGTGAGGTGGAGAGGTTGAGGCAATTGATGTCTCGACAGCAGTTGGAGATGAGGTTGAGGGAGGGTAGGAGGCGGTGTGTTGGAGGCAGAAGGGGTCAGTAGAGGGAGGGTTAGGCTCACGATTAAAACAGTAAGCACAGAGGCGGCAGAAAAACTGTTCAACATCCAAGCATGAGCGGTACTCGTTGATGTTAGGGTGGAGGGGGATAAAGGTGAGCTGTTTACTGAGGACTGACCGTTAGTCCTCAGTAAGGGGAAGGTCTGGGGCGGATGGTGAAGACCCGGCAGGGCTGGGTGCTATTGTCTAAGGAGTGGGAGGGGGAGTTGAAATGGTTCGTGACTGGGAGCTGCAGTTGTTTGTTTCCAGCCAAAGACAGATTCTGGAATGAGCAAGCGTAGATCAGTTTGTTTGTTTTCAAAGTGCACAGCAACAGCTTAGAGAACGCTATTTAATTTGAAGATGGAGTAGAGTTGGGTGTTCTGCAAGTGTAACAAATTTCATTTCTAATGAAATATTTTTATTCTTATGACTAAATTTTGCAATAGATTAGAAAATTTAATACAAATAATGTTATTAAATCCAGAGAAACATTACCCAGATGGGAGAAAGGAAATCACTTTTCCAGACCAGACCATTAAATACTTGTTTGCAGATGGTCGAGAAGAAAGTGTGTTTCCAGATGGCACGATAATACGTATGCAACCGTAAGTAATCACCAAAAGTAACTTATTGAGCAATGTGAGCTATATCATTCTCCTATTCAGTACTTAAAACATTGCTACAGTGAGGCATAAAGTCAAAGCTTTTCATCAGCACTCAGCAGGACTGAAACAAGTGACAACTTAATTAGCAATGAACAGGGTGCTGATTGGTTGACATGGAGATGCAACAGGACATTACAACATCTACATTCCTTTCTGTGCCCAAGTAACCTTTTAAATTTTAAGGCACAGCCTAGATTAATTCCTTTGCCTAAAATGAACCAATAACTCTGTTTCCAATGGCTTTTGAGGGAGCAAGTTCCAACTAAATTGGCTCAAGCAATATCAGCAAATCTTCTTACATTCAACACCTGGTTTTCAAATCCCTCCATAGCTGCCTCCTCCCAAAATTTGTGTCACAACTATGATGCTTTCACTTAATTCTGGCCTCTTGCTCAACTGATTTTAGTAGTCCACCAAGGTTTGAAATTCCTTCCATAAACCTCTATGCCTCTCTATCCTACCCAGTGATCCTTAAAACCTATCAACAACAAGCTTTGGCTAACAGCTTCAATATCTCCTGCAAATACCTGTGAAATATCTTGCTATGTTTTATGTTAAAGGCATTTTATAGATACTTGTTAGTTTATGGGATGTTACTGTGCCATATTTAAGACCATAAGACATAGGAGCAGAAGTTAGGCCATTCAGCCTATACAGTCTACTCCACTATTCAGTCATGGCTGGTAAGTTTCTCAATCTCATTCTCCCACTTCCTGCCCATAATCTTTGATAATCAAGAACCTATCTAGCTCTGTCTTAAATATATAGATGACTTTGTAATTGTAGATGTTATGTTATGTTATGTTGTAATCAAGTGGTCTGAGATGTCCTTTAGTTGTCAAAAGAAGCCATATAAATTTGTTTATTCCTTCAATGCAGTGATGGTAACAAGATAATTGAATTTAATAATGGACAAAGAGAAATACACACATCGAGCTACAAAAGACGGGAGTACCCTGATGGAACTGTTAAAACAGTGTATCTAAATGGTCAACAGGAAACAAAGTACAGCTCAGGAAGAATAAGAATCAAAGACAAAGAAGGCAATGTAATCATGGACAGTAAACCCCAATTATTCTAAGTCTTAAAACATTTTAAACCTATTGTATTTGAACGTTGATTTGAACTCCTGTATTTACACAGCATCTAACTGTACTATATAACTACATTTCACATGCTAGTATATTGCTATCCTTATGTAAATACTTGAATGTTAGAACAATGTGATCTAAATGCCTGTGGGGGAAAAATGTGTAATATGTAAATTTAAATGTTTATAAAATTGAAGTGCAATATATAGTGTGTTCATCAATCTTTGAATTAAGTCAACTACATTTGATAAAGTGAACCAAATAACTTGGATCCTGTATTTGGATTACATCTTTAAAAGTGGTAAATGTTTTGATATGTTATAGGCAACTTTTTTTTTTAAATTTAAAGGCTTGTTTTTTCTGCATAAAAAAACTGAACTGATGTTTTGTGGATTTTTAGAACAATTCAAGTGGAATCTCATACTCCAACTGACTGTTTGACTGATCAGTTTATAATGCTTTGCGAGAGACCACAATAAGCAGGACGGCCTCCAAAAAAAACTGATCAGTCTCACCAAGAGTAATAACAGGATTCTAGCATGGTTTTGCTTAGCTAGTAGCTGGTGGTTTTCACAAAATAGTTGGTGTACTATTCACAATGCTGTTTTCTGTAGTGAAATATGCAACTTTGACAAGCTGAGGTAATACTGCAACATCTACCTTTAGCCTAATCAATCCATTGGGACATTGATTGAAAGGAATAAGACACTAAAGGAGACACAAGATCGACCAGGAACCAAAATTTTAAAGGTGATAGTCAATTAATAAATACCGTATTTAGAAATAGCAGACATAGTACAAGCAAGTCAAGAGTAAGAAACCAATATGTTGAGGGTGTTTGTTTATTTCCTTTTCACCTTTGGAAGAGCTTTTAATGAACTGAAGCACTGTTGAACATGGAACATTTCAGATTAGGCCTGCAGTATATACTGAACAATAGTTGGATTGCTAAGCCATTTGAAGCTGCTCTCCTGGCGCTAGCAGTGAATGTATCAGAGTTGATTCCTAAATGTTAAGACTTTTGTTCTAAGTGTATACAAATATTATGAAAGCAATGTGACAAGATCATCAAAATTCATTAAAGCAAAGAGGTACAACTCAACTTCAACGGGAACCAGATTCTCCCTCCACCAGTAGCAAACTGAAAAACTGCTTTGTAACACTAACATACCAAAAGAACTGCAGATGCTGTAAATCAGGAACAGAAACAAGTTGCTGGAAAAGCTCAGCACACCTGGCAGCATCTGAAGAAAAATCAGTTAACGTTTTGGGTCCAGTGACCCTTCCTCCAGACCAAAAATGTTAACTCTGATTTCTCTTCACAGATGCTGCCAGACCGATGAGCTTTTCCAGTAACTTCTGTTTGTTCCTGCTTCGTCATGCACCTTGCACTATCTAACATTTGATGTCCTCCAATGATGTCCTTACAACCATTCAAATTAATTTTTCCAGCAATCCTAGATGCTGATAGAATGGCCTGTGGAACTGTAACATAAATTGTATAATCAGATTTACTCCTTTTCATCTTAAAATAAATGTACATCTACAAGAGGATACCAGACAGTTAATGACAGCAACATAACTATCTACTGATTTTGTAGCCATTAGTTAGAAATCATACTGCACTACCTTTCAAATAGCCTTCTTCATCTCGGACTTTATACAGTTCAGCATCACCACCACAGTACCTCCGTATTCAAACAACAGCTTGTACATTTACCGTTCAGCACAAATAATGTTCTGAACTTTACATATTAATATATAATCACAAATGATTTATCATTCGACAATGATTAAGAAAAGCAATATTCTGTGATCACTAAATTACCCTTGTTTTCAAAAGAGAGTACAGCACTTAACTACTAAACCATCCCCAATTACACCAAAGACAGTTGAAACAATTGATAGGGAAACTATGTAATCAATGTAGCTTGTGACTCTGAAAGAAAATTTAAACTCTAGGCTTTCTCTGAGGAACAGCTGGATTGCAAAACCAATGTTAAAACATGCAATGATAAATGTTAATTCTGCACCATTGTAAGCATCCAAATGGAAGTGGTTTAAGTTAGCCCCTACTTCAAAAGAAAACATGACAGGATTTCACTTTGACAGTCAATTCAGATTATATCACGCACTGGACACTAGCTGAATTGACTGTTAGAATGTGTCACAAAGATAACCATTCCATAACCAAAGTTCATTTCAGAATAACTAGCTACACATGGAATACATTGCACTACTATCAGATTATTTGTTTCAACTACCTTTGATGCAATAAAGAATTTATTAGGTCAATTTTTTATATCCATGACTAAATCACACTATCAATATGCACATTACAGTTACAAACATTCTATCAAATGCAAAAACAATGCTAGTTACTTCTGTCATTCATACCAAGGCAAATTTAACTGCAACCATTAAAATCTCACTAGTATTTAAAATAAATAATATGTAAATTTAAAATATAAATTGTTATGATAAATTTCAAGCATTGAAATTGTACTGGATAATACTGCTGTTGATTTCAAAGATTAAGTGCTTTTACAGCCACTTAAAATCTGAATTTATATCTGCTCTACTCACTTGGCTGGTTAAAAGTTTGCATTGCCTTATATGGTGCATCACCCTTTCCAGTTTAAACTCCTTTGTTCCTGTTTTGATCTGCAGACATCTCATGTCCTAGACTTGCAGGTAGTCACCCCACCACACAATCTCCCCCTTTGGCCTGCAGAAAATGAGTTTATCTCAGCAAGGAAATAAAATAAGTGCTTAATCAGCTTTTGACTTCTGCTACATGTCTCATTTGTTCAGTTTTAACTCAACACATTCCAAAGTAATTTACAATTACTTTTTGAAGTGTAGGTGCAAATTACTGCAGATTTTGAAGTGTAGTCACTTGTAACACAAGCACTTGATAGTATTATTTGACGACTGCAAGTGTCTTCCCAGGTCCTAGTCCTTAACCAACACTGAAAAGAATTGCAAATGCTGGAAATCTGAAGCAAAAGCAAACTGCTAGAGAAACTCAGCAGGTCTGGCAGCATCTATAGAGAGAAAGCAGAATTAATAATCGAGAGTCCAGTGCCTCTTCTTCACAATTTATGACAGATAGGAAAGTTTTGTCTTTTCCAAAGGGTAGGGAGAGTCTAAAACTCGAGAGCATAGGTTTAACGTGAAAGGGGGAAAAGATTTAAAAAGGGACCTGAGGGGCATTTTTGTTTCCCCCACAGGGTGGTGTGTATATGGAATGAAATGTTGAATGAAGTAGTACAATTACAACATTTAAAAGACGTTTGGATAGGTAGATGAACAAAAAAGGGGCATGGGCCAAATGCAAGCAAATGAGACTAGTTTAGTTTAGGAAACCTGGTCAGCATGAACAAGTTGGGCTGAAGACCCTGTTTCTGTACTGTATGTGAAGAAGTGGCAGGCAACTGGAAGCTCAAGGTCAACTTTGCAGACAGAACGTATAAATAAAATTCATTGTTTGTGGGTCCTTGTGCTGATTGACAACCACATTTCCTACACTACAGTGACTATACTTCTAAAATATTTGATTGCAAAACATTCTGCATGTAGGTCAGAACAGAAATCTAGGGATCAATCCAAAAAGATTACTATGTTGGGAGTGATCAACCTTTGAATTACAAATAACAATGATTTGAATATGTGGCAAACCAAATAGCATTTAGTTCTCCAGGTATAAACATTTTTACACCACCTCATAGCTTTAAGTATCTTTCCTTCACTTTGTTTCACATTCATTTTTCCTTTAATGTACTCATTTTATTTCCTCCTACTGGACTGTGCTTTGTTTTGAATTGAATCAAGCCTTCATTTTTGTTGCTGACCGATGATTGGTTTAAATGTTTGGTCAATTATCATACCCCAGCTTGAACGGTGACTGATATAAACATGCAGGATAAGAATTGTGCTTAGCAGTGAATTTTCCCTGGGATGTATTTTCCCTGGGATGTATAATGTATTGGCCCAAATTTTGAAGTTGGTTTTGAGCTGTTTCTTGGTGGCTGATTACAGGAATGCAGGGTAAACCAGCAGATAGAGAATTTAAAAGCACCAAAAAGAGAAGTGTGACTGATCACAGAATGATCAGCACAAGCCACACTATATTATGGCAAATATAATTTCTCCTTCCCAACAATGGCTGAAAACCACATGGAATACAACAGCCTGCCACAGGAAGAGTGATAGGCCTTAAATGGACAAGCACAAAACTCAAATCAACTGGACAGCATCTCTTAGAAAAAAGGACAGCTGGGTTATGAATAGAGTGACAAATTGACAGTTTTGGCATGAAATAAAAATGTTTTTTTCTATTCGATGCAGAAGTTCAATAAGTTAAAGTATTGATTTACCTTAATAAATTTACCATAAGAAATACCTTGATACATTTTCCTAATTCTTGAGAATTTGCAATACTTGGGTGAACATCACCCAAACCATTTCTTGAATAAAATATGAAATGGTAGCATGCTACTGGCAACACACCAGAAAATAACTTTATTGAAAATATGAACAGAAATTTGACAAATCTGCAGCCATCAACTCAGAATTATTTACCATAATTGGTATTGATGATACTCATTAAACAAAACAATAACATGGTGTTGTGACACTATTGAGGGAAGGAGGAAAAAACAAAACTCAAAAGTACATGTCAAATTCTTTTGCAGTTGAACCACCATGAACTTAGCCATTAAACAGATTCAATTTACATTAGCATCACATCAATACTTCAAGTGAAATAAAACTATAAACATTATTCAATCAAGAAAACTTGGACATACTAGCCTTACTCAGCTTCAAACTCCAGTACAGCAAAAAAGTTTGCAGTTAATGAATATACAAAAACAAAAAATGCAATGGCAATATCCTGCAGAATCCTGCGTGGTTTGGAGACTCTCCAACATCTTGCTGATACCCTGTTTATAGAGAAACGATAAACTGAAATATTTTCCTATGTATTCTCGAAGTATTCACATTATGGAATTAGGTCCTTAGTTACTTATAAGCTTTCCAGTCTGCAAGTGCATCATACTCTGTCATACTTTTAATGTTTCCACAGGCAGAACAAAGAAGAGCCTAAACCTTTTAAACATTACCAAGGTTAACTGGATGAATAAACTGAAAGGTATGGCTGTAAATAAAGTGGGAAGCTAAAGAAACAGATCAAAATATTCAACAAAACTGTATTCCACTGAGAAATATACTCAACATCCTAAACGAGTTACGGGATAGGTCTTTCTTAACAAGAAAGACGACTTATAACATTGCAAATAAGTAGCAATTTTGAGGACTGGAAGGGTTTTAGAAATCAATAGGGCTTTCAAACAAGTTAATAACAAGGGAAAAAAGATGCAAGAATAAACTAGTCATAAATATAAAGAGAGACCAAGAACATCAACGTATATAAAAGGTAGGTAGTAGCTGAAGTAAACATTGGTCTGCTAGAAGCAAAGACAGGAGAAATTTCAGGAGGCAGTGAACAAATATTTTGTCAGACTTTACATCAAAGATAAGGTTCATCTAAGAAATGGATGGTAACCCAGGAGCTAGAGAGAGTTAGGAAACTAAGAAATTAATATTGGAGAAAAAAAAACACTGGAGGAACTCAAGGGACTAAAATTCAACAAAACTCAGATGTGATGACCTACATGCTTTGGCTCCAACAGTTAACTACATAGATAGTGGAAGAGCTAACTATGATTTTCCAAAATTGAGATTTGGAAACAATTTTATCAGCTTGAAATAGGCAAACGTTATACCACATTTTATTTTGAAAAGAAAGGGCTTAACATTAATTGCTGGGAAAATCCTAAAATGAAAAGAATGGTGTGATTAGAACAATTTAACTTGATTTTATTAAAGGCAAATCCTGTTTGACAAATTTATCAGAGATTTTGAGGGTGTAACTGACAATGCAGAAAAACGGAAACCAATGGATTTAGTACACCGGGATTTCCAAAACACTGCAACAAAAAGTAAAGAGGCAAGACAAGAGCTCATGGATTTGTGTAATCTATTAGCACAGGCAAAAGATTAGCTAGTGGATGGGAATCTGAGAGTGGCCAAAATGGGGCATTTTCAAGTTGACAAGCAGTGAATACTGGAGTGTCACTAGGGTCAATGCTGGGGCCACAGCTGTGTATAGTTAACATCAATGAATAAGAGGACAAGACAGTGTGCTCTATTTACTTTTGTTGATGATGCAAAGCTAGGTAGAAAAGTAAACTGTGGGAAGGACACAATGAGGCTGCAAATAAGTATTAGACAGGTTAAGAAACTAGGCAATAGATGGCTGATGGATTATTAATGTAGGGAAGGGTGAGGCTTTTCTATTATGCTCTAAGAATTAAAAAGAAGAATTTTTTTAAAAAAGTGTGGAAATTCTAAGTGCAGATATTCAAAGAGACTTGAAGCCCCAAGTTAGAAAGCAGATACAGCAAGCAAAAAGGAGGGCAAATGCTTGACTTTTATTGGAAGGAGATTGGAATTCAGGAATAAAATATTGTTCCAATTGTACAATGTTTTAGTGAGTCCCTATCTGTAGTATTCTGGGCAGTTTTGGTCTCCACATTTTAGATACACTTGTATAGTCTGGTAGCGCAGAACTGGAGTACTGGTTGTCATTGTAATCCTTAACGCACTTGGAATTACACAACAATTGTTGCATAATCAGGAAATCACATCTAAACATTGGACACTTTGGACTTTGCAAGCATAGGCTACTTTGATTTGGTTAGTATCTTGCTTGTTGTGAATAGCCAAAAGGATGTTATTTGATACAAGTGACCAGTCTTTGGGACTTTTGACTTGGCAACATATCAGCACTGAAATTTAACTTCAAATTTTGTGTACATTCATCACACAAACAGGATGAGGTATTTGCTGAGTTTGAACTCCTTTATTCCCAGCTATCCTGCTACAAATCAGCACCCACTCAAGACTTTGAATTCTTAAAAGCAACCTAGCTGATCAAACAGGTGTTGAAAGCATGCTTTTAAAAAAAGTACTGTTGGGCACGTCTAAGAGCAATGATGTGTTGTAGGGTTCATTTTCACAGCTTCAATGAATGTATGAATTTTACACTAAAGTGATGTCCCCTTATGCCCCAACTTTTTTATAACCAGTTCTGCATAAAATGAAAAGGCCAAATGATTGAATGATTTGCTACCATGAAATCAACACACTCTTTGCATACAGTGCAAAGTGTTCCTCCCTTAATTTCGTATTCTTGCCTATGTCCTGACGAATGCAAGACAAAACACTGAAAATTAAATCTTTTTCAACAAAAGATTTAATTACATTGGAGGTAGTACAGTTCATTAAATTGGTTCTCAGGGTGAGCGGGGTTGTGCTTTGAGAAGCTGACAAAATTGAGTCTACAATCTATAGAGCTTAAAAGTATGAGGGGCAATTGTTTTGAAGCATTCAAGGTTTGAAGGGACTTGAAAGGGTGAGAGATTATCTCTGGTCAGGGAATCCACAATGTAAGGACACAGTCTCAGAATAAAGGGCTAATCTTTTCAAGTTGACATACAGAGAAATTATTTCATCCAAAGGGTTACAAATCTTTGCAATTCTCTCTCTCCCAGAGTTCTGCAGTCTTCACTGTTTAATACATTTAAGGCTGGAATATTCATTGTTTTTTATTTCTCAAAGAATCAAGGGATATGAGGAGCTGGCAAGAAAATAAAGCTGAAGACCAAGAGCAGCCATGATCCTTAAGAATGGCACACAGGCTTAACAGCCAAATGGCTTAGCCCTGCTCCTATTTCTCATGCTTATTTACTTTTCAAAAATGCAATACAAGTTATCCAACATTTAAATGAAAAATGGACATGGAAGTAGAGGAAAAAAAAGTACATTTACTTAAAAACTTACTCTTACATATCCAAATCTGCAAGCCCCTTTTCTACAAGTGGTAGGTGAATCAGTGATCCTTCTTCATACAAGAATACAGAAACTTCTGGACATAAGCTCTGAAGAACATTTTAGGTTCATATCAGTTTTACTGAACAATGACATAAACATTAATAAAGCAAATGTTGTTCACAAATTATGATTAGGTCATCAGAATGCAAGATTCAAGATTGCACCAATGTTTGCAAATACTACAAAGAACGACTAAGTTTAAAAAGTTGTCCAACTTTGTAATAATTGCAAGAAGTGTATATTGCCGAGAGTGAAAGTTAATTACTGTAATTCTTACTGAATTTGTAAAGTATAATGCCCTTCATTTATCTCAAATGAATTTTTATATTCACTTATAGGATGTGGCCTTCATTGGCTGAACTGTCATTTATTGCCTGCCCCTGGTTGCCCTTGAGAAAGTGATGGTGAACTGTCATCTTTACTGCTGCAGTCCATTTGCTATAGGGGGTTAATTCAAGGATTTTGATCAAGTTACCCTCAAGGATAATCACATTTAAGTCAGGATGGTGAGTACCTTGGAGAGGAACTTGCAAGTAGCGATGTTCCCATGTGTCAGTTACTCATCCTTCTACATGATGGTCGTCATGGATTTGGAAGGTACTATCTGAAGGGCTTTGGTGAATTTTACTGCATCCTGTAGATGCTACAACTGCTGCTGAGTATCAGTGAAGTAATGAATGTAGTGTCAATCAAATGGGCTGCTATATCCTCGTTGGTGTCAAGCTTCTTGCGTACTGTTGAAGGTGCACTCATTCAGGAGTATTCTACCACATTCCTGCCTTGTAGACGGTGCATGGGCTTTGGGAGTCAGAAGGTGAGAGTTTTCTGCTGCAGTATTTCTAGCCTCTGAACTGTTCCTGCAGCCATTGTATTTATAATGACTAGTTCCATTTCTGGTCACTGGTACACCCCCAGCACCCCCCCCAAACACCTATTCCCCACACCCCATGATTTTGATAGTGGGGGATTCAGTGATATCAATGACATTGAATGTCAAGACAGTTAAACCATCTCCGTTGGGAGTCAAGTGTTATTTGCCACTTGTCAGTCCAAACTTAGATATTGCCCAAGTCTTGCAGCATTTGTACTTGGACTGCTTCAGTGTCTGAGGAGGCACAAATGATGTTGAACATTGTGAAAACATACGACCTTACAACAGAGAGTGTCATCGATTACAGAGCTGAAGATGGTTAGACCTTGGACATATTTCTTCCGACACCTCTGCAGGAGTTCCTAACAACCATAACTGTCTTTTGTGCTAGGTACAACTCTAACTAGTGCCCAGTTGTCCCTCCCCCACCATCTGCAAGTTCCCCTCCAAGCCACTCACTATCGTTACTTGAAACTATATCACCGTTCCTTCACAGTCAATGGGTCAAAATCCTGGAATTCCCTGCCTAATGGCATTGTGGATCTACCTCCAGCACATGGACTGTGGCAATTCAGGAAAGCAGCTCATCACTACCTTTAGGGCAACTATGAACAACAATAAATGATAGTTCAGCCAGTGCTGCCCACAACTCAGTGAGTTAAAAAAAAAACATGTCAAATCCCATTGCCTGTGTAGTATCTGGCGCCTCCAGGATGGAGCAAATCAAATTAGCTGAAGACTGGCATATGTTTTGCTGGAAATCTCTGTGGAAATCTAAGGTTGATCATCCACTTGCCGTTTTTGGCTGAAGATTTTAGCAAGTGCTTCAGCCTCATCTTTTGTACTCCAACTCGAACAATCACCGAACGGGGCAAGTCAGAATCTTACAATCAATAATGGAAACACTCATTTTCTTTCTCAATTCCTTTGTCACCACTTGTTGTAATTTAAAATCGTTTTAAAGATCCCCAACTCAATCTAGTTTACCAGGATCAGAATAATACAACTGTAAATAATTCCATTGTTATTTTTAACATTTAAATACATATTTAAATAAACAACATATTCTTATCCCAATGTTAATTACAAGTAAAGTCATTGAGTAATCAACTCACAAACCTTGACTGAGAATTGCAATACATGCAATATATATTTCACATTAACCTTGCTTAATGTCACAGGTTAATTGTTTTCTCGATTTAATTAAATGACTTAGGTGGATGGGCTATGCTAAATTGCCCATTGTGTCCAGGGTGTAAATTAGGTGGATTAGTCATGGGAAATGTAGGGTTACAGGGTAAGGGTAGGAGATGGGTCTGGGTGGGATGCTCTTCAGAGGGGCGGTGTGGACTTGTTGGGCTGAAAGGCCTGTTTCCACACTGTAAGGATTCTATTCTATTCTATGACTTACCACCAAGAATGCTGTAAGTTGATTCCCTTGTACAATGTCAATCATTGTCCACAGAGCTTCCATGGACCATTCTGGACTGTAAACAAGTCGGTCAACATCATTCATTAAAGCTGGGGGTTTAAACCCTGCCAGCTTGACCTTGATAGCTCGAACTGGATACTGCACTAAGTGTGCAGGAATCTGCCGAAGTCTGCCATTAAACAATAAAGCACAGATATTACAACTAATGCCTGCAAACAATACTGAGGAGAATAAAGGTCAAACTTGCATGCCACCTTTTTGGATAATGAAGCCATGCAAATCAGCCCTGGATTAAGCAGATAACTGCAGAAGTTCAGTACTAAGAAACATTCTAGTGATAGTTCATGTGGGGTGTGAAGCCCAGTATCATTCTAGATTACAAAACACACATCAGAAAGAGATTTGAGGAAACGCCCATCTTGCACAGAGCTGAGTACTGAGTGGCAGCCCTGTAACAGACCTTGCTTCTATGGTGGGAGCACAAGCAGTCTTCAAATTGCCAGCACACCAACTCAAGTGTCAGAGTCATACAGCACAGAAACAAGACCTTCAGCCCAATTCACCCATGCCAACCAGGTTTCCTAAACTCAACTACTCCCATTTGCCTGTACTTGGCCCATATCCCTCTGAACCTTTCCTGTCCAAATGTCTTTTAAATGTTGTAATTGTACCCACCTCTACCATTTATGGTAGCTCATTCTATATATGCACCATTCTGTGTATGAAAAGTTTGTCCCTCAGGTCCATTTTAGACCTCTCTCCTCACCTTAAACCGATGCTCTCCAGTTTTGGATTCTCCTAACCTGGGAGAAAGACCTTGGCTATTCACCTTATCTATGCCCCTCGTGATTTTATGAACCTCTCAAGGTCACCCCTCAGCCTCTGACACTCCAGGGAAAAAGCTTCCAGCCTATCCTTAAGTCAAAACTTCTCATCTCTAACATTCTCGTAAATCTGTTTTGCACCCTTTCCAGTTTAATAACATCTTTCCTATAGCAGGGTGACCAGAACTGTACGCAGTACTCCAAATGTGGCCTTAGCAATGTCCATAACTATTTCCAAACTAACAGAATTATGACCACTGGTTCTAAAAATGTTCCCCCAATAACACCTTAGTCTCCTGCCCTGCCTCATTTCCCAAGAGGTCACATTTTGCCCATTCAACTGCAGTCATCTAGATATTAATTGAGAAATTTTTCCTGAACACTCTTGAATTCCTCTCCATTGAAGCCCTTAACACTATGGAAGTCCCAGTCTATGTTTGGAAAGTTAAATTCACCTATTACAAACATTACTCTTAAAAGCTATTTGCAATCTCCCTACATATTTGCTCTTGAATTTCCTGCTGACAATTGGGGCACCTATAGTACAATCCCATCAAAGGGATCTCCCCCTCATTTCTCAGTTCCACCCACACAGCCTCACTGGGTGATCACTCAGGAATACCCTCTCAAAGTATTGCCATGATGTTTTCCTAATTAAAAACACCACTACTGCTCCTCTTCTGTCTCCCCTTCAATCCATCCTACAGCATCCATACCATCAAACATTAAGCTGTCAGTCCTGTCCCTCCCTCCGCTTTGTTTCTGTGACATCTATGATATCCCAGTCCCATGTTCCCATCCATGCCCCGAGTTCATCTGTCTTACCTGTCAGGTCTTTTTGGGTAGCACGGTGGCTCAGTGGTTAGCACTGCTGCCTCACAGCGCCAGAGACCTGGGTTCGATTTCCCCCCTCGGGCAACTGTGTGGAGTTTGCACATTCTCCGTGTCTGCATGGGTTTCCTCCCACAGTTCAAAGACGTGCAGGTTAGGTGGATTGGCCATGCTAAATTACCCATAGTGTTCAGGGATGTGCAGATTAGGTGGGTTATGGGGAATGGGTCTGGGTGGGATGCTCCGAGGGTCAGTGTGGACTTGTTGGGCCGAAGGGCCTGTTTCCACACTGTAGGGATTCTAAGAGGTCTCTTGCAGTGAAATAAATTCAGTCTTCCCTCATTCCCTGTCATACTCTTGCCAGCCTGGTCTGTTTAACTTGTTTTCTTTAGCTTCTGTATTAACCTCAACCTTCTCTTTTGTCTCACTGTTTACTAACCCTAAACACCTGCCAGAGTAGTTTGAACCCTCCTGAGTTGCTCTACCAAATCTTCCTGCCAAGATCTCAACCTCCCTCTTGTACAGGTTACCTCTGCCCCAGAATTGATCCCAAAGACCTAAAAATCTGAAACCCTGCCCCTTGCACAAGCTCTTCAACCATGTGTACGTCTGCCCCATCTTCCTATTCCTACTTTTGCCAGCATGTGGTACCGAAAGTATTCCAGAGATTACTACCTTCGAGGTCCTGCTTTTAAACCTCCTGCCTAACTCCCTATATTCGTTCTGCAGGACCTCATCCCTTTGTCTACCTATTTTATTGGTACCAACGTGTACAACCACTTCTAACCGCTCACATTCCCCTTTGAGAATTTGCTGGAACCGCTCCAAAACACCCTTGACCCTGGCACAAGGGAAGCATCCTGGAGTCTTGCTTGTGGCCACAGAAATGCCTGTCTGTGCCCCTGACACAGAGGCTGCTATCACTCGATTGTTCACCTGGACTTTGCCATACCCTGCTTTACTGCAGAGCCAGTCATGGTGCTAAAGATCTGGTTGCTGCTACCCCCTTCCCCCAAAAGGATATCCCTACCAACAGTGTCCATTGAGGAAGGGATAGCCACAGGAAACTCATGCACTACCTGCCTACCTCTCCTGACAGTCACCCATGTAATTGGCTGAACCTGTGGGGTGACCACCTCCCTGAAACTACTATTTAATCGCACTCTCTGCCTCCCGTGTCTAACTGTTGCCCCAAGCGATCCATGTAGTCTGAGAGGAGGTGCAGCTGGACACACTTCCTGCAGACAGAGTCACCCGGAACACAACTGCTCCCTAATTTCCCACATCTGACAGGAGCATACCACCCCAATGACTGCCATCTGTGCCTTTCGCTAGTGGACTTAAAGCAGAAAAAAAGCTTGCACTTATTTTGTTGCTGCTCACCCTCAACAAAGCCCGGTATTTACCCAAGCCCTCACACAGACCTTACCAGCAGCCCCGCTACAGGTTACCTCCCTTCACTGGCTGGGCATTTGCTGGTGAAATTAACTGAACCACTCTTAGGAACATAGAAAATAGGAGTAGCTCATTTAGCCCTTCAAGCCTGCTCTACCATTCAATGTGATCATGGCTGGTCATCCACATTTCTGGGAAGAGAATTCCACAGGACCACCACTGAGTGGTGCTGCTCTCAGTCCTAAATGGGCTACCCCTTAGCCTTAGATCCTCAGCAGTTCAATGGCACAACACAAGAGATGCAAAGACCTTCAGTCTACTTTGTCTATGGATACCACCACCAAACACTGATGCATAAGGCCTTCTTGACATGGAAATTTCCAGGTTAATGACTAAGTACACAAGTCTGCAGAGTTACAGTCTAGGTCTCCCTGCACTATTCAGACACAAGATGCTACAATGTAGCAACCAGAGAGAGGTCTATTTTTTGAATAAATACTATTTTCGCATTAAAAGCAATCTCCATTGTAAATATGTTCAGAAATTTTAAATAAAAGTGAGAAACAAAATATTTGTTTCCCTAACCTCTCCCTCAAACTCTTCTCATTAGGCCATGTTACTCCCAAGGTAATCAAGTTGAAGCTGCACATTTAATGAGATAATAGGCATTTGTCCATGTGAATCAGAAACAAATGTATCATGACAAAAATATAACCACTGTAAACATATTTAGCACAGATACCTGGAATCTGGTAAAGATGCAGTAGAGCCAAAGTCAACATGCTGCACAAGGATCTTTAATGGTTGAACTTTATCTAGTGACAATACTTTTGCTCTATACCACCGTCCATCACTGTATTCAGCAAGGCAAGGCATTTCTGCAAAGAAACATATCAAATCAGATAAGGTAACAAAAAACGTTTCAAATATCTGGTTCATTACCTGTAAAATATTAACATGAACAATGTCTAGTTCTGGTGTAAAAAACAAATTGCTGGAAGAACTTAGCAGGTCTGGCAGCATCTGTGGACAGAAATCAGTTAACGTTTTCGGGTTGAGTGACCCTCAGATGCTACGGCAATGGATGAATGGACACTGAGCAACTATCACCCGTCAGGGGACACTTCAGCGGTCAAGGACATTCAGCCTTCGATCTGCGTCCTCCAAGGCAGCCTTCGAGACACAACAACACAGAAGCACTGAGCAGAAACCAATAGCCAAGGTCTGTACCTATGAAGACGGCCTCGACCATGATCTTGGGTTCATCTCTACTACATGTAACCCCACCATACTGTTCTGTACTTGTAAAATCTTCCTTACTGTCTTGTTTTGACACCATCACCTTGGTAACTTGTTATGATCGCTCTATCTTAATTACTTTGTAAAGTTTTGGATTACTTGTTACTTTGGTTAGACCCTCGGCACGTGACTCTAATACCTATCATGTTATTCCAGCCAGTTAGTTTGTGTTCAGCACCACCTTTTTAAAATTTTTTGTAATTATCTGTCTGCCCTTCACTTACTATTCAGTTGTTGACACTTTACTCACACTGTTCATATGATCTTTTGATCTCTCTGCCTATAAATTCTGTGTCTGTATGCTTTTCTTTAATTCACCTGACAAAGGATCAGTGCTCTGAAAGCTTGTGATTTCAAATAAACCTGTTGGACTATAAACTAATGTCATGTGACTTCTGACCTTGTCCACTCCAGTTTAACACCAGCACCTTCACATCAGAACTGGTACTGGTTCCGGTAATATCATTATAACCTTATTCTGCGAATCAAGTTTTGGAAGGAAGTGAAGGTACTGGGCAGACAGCTGAGGGGGCTTACAAGAACTATTCCAAAAATGAAGAATTTCAGTTAATAAGACAGACTGGAGAAGCTGGAATTGTTTTCCTTGGACAACAGATAGGAAAGGAAATCGGATTAAAGAATTTAAAATTGAGACCCCCTAGACAGTAAATAGGGGGAAAATGTTCCCACTCACGAAAGGAAGTGGAGATGGGGGCACAGATCGGAAGCAATTAATAAAAGCAGCAAAAAAGTGATGGAGGAAAAGCTTTTCCACGTAATCAGTGGTTAGGGTCTAGAATGAACTGCCTCACAGCTTGTGGAGGAGACAGGTTCAATTAAGACATTCAAAAAAAATTACATGATTGTTCATTTTCAAATAATCAATGTACAAGAAGAAAACAGAAGAATGGGACTAAGCGAGATGCTAAATTGGCAAGCTGGTGCAGACATGATGGTCCAACTAGGACCTTTCACATTGTACCAATTCTGTGAAAAAGTACAAACTTAAAATGCAGAACATTGATTTCTAGAACACCTCTAAAAACAGCTGTTTCAATGGTTACCCTTTTTCATGGTCAGAATAGAAAGAGTTGCTAGGCTTACATAGCTGGAAACATCATAAATAAGGGATAAATGGCTTAAAAAGGTCAGTTTGAGGAGATGGGAACCTTTATGACTGAGGTCTCTTAGGATCATTCAAGGGAATTAGGAAATAATCGAAGTGTATAACAAATTCAGTTATAAGCCAACCTATTAAACTATTTGTTTTCATTTAAGTCTTTTGCATACAATAAAGATTGCTTAACTGAAAATAAAATCTTACGGTATTGTTTTGAGGTAAAGTATGGTATTTAGAGTTTTTTTTTTTAAAAAGTTAACAGTCCCTAAACAGATGATAAAAATGGAGTTGTCTTAATTATTTGCTTAAAATTTGTTATAGTTACTTCAATCTTGACAAAAAGAAACCCTGGTATTGAAAGAGTTCATGTTAAAAACAGCCACCATAGTCTTGTCAATTGTACAATAACTTGCATTGCAAGGTGCTGATACTCTGTCACAACCATAACCCTGAACCATAATCAAGTATAGGGTTATTCCTAATCTTTCAACAATGCTGACACTACACTGTCAAATATAAATAGCACTATTTTCTAGCAGTTTGGAGGAAAAGATAATAGGTCTTCTGTGTCAAGCTACTTACTACACAAACAGGTCAAATTTCCGAGTGTTTTCTGAACTGTTCCACTTGGACCATTTAACTTTACATCCTCTTCTGAAAAGCTGCTTAAATTTTACAAATAATGTTTGTAAAGAAACACACTAACTATCAGCAATTTTCTTGAATCCGATTTGAAAATTCAGGAAAAGTTGAAAAAAACTCTTTAAACGCAGCAAGTGTAAAAAATAGAACAGATGGTCCCGGACGTATAATGGAGGATGAGTGGACGGCAGTCCTAGATATCTCCCAGTATTACCCAGCTACACATTGAGCTTAAATAGTATCAATGTAACATATTCCTTTGAATTGGAATACAGAATAATCAATACCACAATACACAGTTCATATTTTGCTGCAATCTTTTGTCGTGAACTGGATGCTCAGTGTAAAAGATTAAACACAAATGTAAAAAGTTATACTACACATTTTAGATATTTATCATTTGGTGAGCATTTGTTACTGTCACAAAAATTTGGGATAATCAGGTTCCAGAGTTAAGTCACGTTAGACTGGAAACATTAATGCTGTTTCTTTCTCCATGTATGCTGTCAGACCGGTTTTCTTTAGTACTGCTTTTTATTTGGAATTGGAAGCATTTTACAGTAAATTTTACGTAAGTATGCTGAGGTTAAAGGTCATTTGACCTTAGAACAACGAGATATACCTACACATTAAATAACCTACAATACCTGATCTGAAATCTGAGAGTAAAGGAAGTGCCTCTGCATTCTGATTAAGCTCTCTGAGGGCTTGCTCAAGATCATCAAATTCGTAGCTTATGCCACTGTCGTCTGTGTCAGTATCTGATTCAACATCTCTCCTCGAACCAATTGAAATGTACACCTGAAAATTAAAAAAGAAACTACAAAGTAAGAGGACATTCAGTCCTAATGATTTATTGCAGTGCGCATTCTCCATACAGGCAGGGCTAATCATATGTGCCTGCTGTTTCCACATCTTATTATTCCCCTTTTCCTCTAATTACCTATCAAACCTATTCTTAAATCTTGATGTGGTCTCTGCTTTAACTACTAAGAGTCAGAGTCATACAGCACGGAAACAGACCTGTTAGTCCAACCAGTCCATGCCAAACATAATCCCAAACTAAAACGAGTCTCCTCCGTCTGCTCCCGGCCCATATCCCTCCAAACTTTTCCTATTCACGTACTTATCCAAATGCCTTTTAAAACATCTTAATTGTATCCACATTCACAACTTCCTCGGGAAGTTCACTGCACACACAAACTATGCTCTCTGCAAGATATTTGCCCCTCCGGTTTTTTACTTTCTCCTATCACCTTAAAAATGTGTCCCCTAGTCTTGATTCCCGATCCTAGGGAAAAGACAACTACTATTAACTCTTAGTTTATAAACTCGTTGCCTCTCAACCTGCTACATTCCAGTGAAAAGAATTCCTAGCCTTCCTTTATAACTCGAACCTTCCATACCCAGCGACGTCCTGGTAAATCACTTCTGAATCCATTCAAGCTTAATCCAGCAATCGTACTAAAGACTTGCACTCCAGAACTTGCCGCCCCCCTCGCCAAGCTGTTCCAGTTCAGTTACAGCACTGGCATCGACCTGACAGTGTGAAAAATTACCCAAGTGCATCCTATACGTAGAAAGCAGGACAAATCCAAGCTGGCCAATTACCGCCCCACCAGTATATTCTCGATCATGAGTCAAGTGATGGAAGGTTTCATCAACAGCATTATCAAACAGCACCTGCTCAGTGACGCCCAGTTTGGGTTCCATCAGGAACACTCAGCACTTGACCTCATTACAGCCTTGGTTCAAACATGGACAAACAGCTGATTTCCAGAAGTGAGGTGGGTGTGACAGCCCTTGATATCAAGGCTGCATTCGAAAGGGTGTGGCATCAAGGAGTTCTGGCAAAACTGGAATCAATTGGAGGCCAGGGGCAAACCCTCCATCAATTGGAGTCATACCTGACACAGGATGACAGTCGTGGCTGTTGGAGGTCAGTCATCTCCCTTCCAGGGCATCGCTGCAGGAGTTCCTCAGGATAGTGTCCTAGGCTCCACCATCTTCAGCTGCTTCAATGGCCTTCCCTCCATCATAACGTTGGAGTGGGGATGTTTGCTGATGATTGCACAATATTCAGGGCACTATTTGTGACTCCTCAGGTACTGAAGCAGTCCATGTCCAAATGCAACAAGATCTGGACAATATCCAGGCTTTGGCTGACAAGTGGCAAGTAATATTCCTGCTACACAAATGCCAGGCTATGACAATCACCAATAATAGACACTCTAACCACCACCCCTTGACATTCAATGGTGTTACAATCATCGAATCCCCCCACTATCAACATCCTGGGGGTTACCATTGACCAAAAACTCAACTGGACTCCCCACATTAACAGAGTGGCTACAAGAGCAGGCCAAAAGCTGGGAATACGGTGGCGAGTAACTCATCTCCTGACTCCTCAAAGCCTGTCCACCATCTACAAGGCAAGTCAGGAGTGTGATGGGATACTCCCCACTTGCCTGGATGAGTGCAGCCCCAACAATGCTCAAGAAGCTTGACACCATCCAGGAAAAGCAGCCCGCTCGATTAGCATTACATCCACAAGTATCCACTCCCTCCACTACCGGTAGCAGCAGTGTATACAACTACAAGATGCACTGCAGAAGTTCACCAAAGATCCTCTGACAGCACCTTCCGAACATTTCCATCTAGAAGGACAAGGGTAGCAGGTATATAGGAACAACACCACCTTCAAGTTCCCCTCCAAGCCACTCACCATCTTGCCTTGGAAAATATATCACCATTCTTTCACTGTCACAATCTTGGAATTCTCTCCCTAATGGCAATGTGGGGCAACTCACAGCAGGTGAACTGCAGCTGTTCAAGAAAGCAGCTCACCACCACCTTCAAAGTCAAGTAGGGACAAGCAATAAATGCTGCCAGCCAGCAACACCCACATCCCACAAAAATAGAGTTAAAAAAAATCCTTCCTATAACTGGGTGACCAGAACTAGACACAGTATTCCAGAAGAGGCCTCACCAGGTCCCGTACAACATCAAAATGACTTTCCAACTCCTATACTCAAAACACTGAGTAATGAAGGCAAGCATGTCAAATGACTTTTTAAATCACTGTCTTTTATGTGATGCGAACTTCAAAGAATTATGCAACTGAACCCCTAGGTCCTTCTGTTCTACAACACAACCAAGACTCTATCATTAATTGTATAAGCCCTACCCTTGTTTGTTGTACCAAAATACAATACCTCTTATTTATCTAGATTAAATTTCATCTGCCATTTTTCAGCCCACTGACCCATTTGATCAAGACCTCTTTGTAATTTGAGAAACTTCTTCACTGTATACTATGCCAACAATTTTGGTGTCATCCTCAAACTTACTAACCATGCCTTCTGTATTTTCATCCAAATCATTTGTCTTTTATATAAAAGACTACCCAGAACCAATCCTGGTGTAACACAGCTGGTGACAGGCCTCCAGGCCTAAAAGCAACCCTCCACCACCATTGTGTCTCTTGCCATTAAGCCAATTATGTATCCAATTGACAAGCTCACCCTGAAACCCATGTGACCCAACTTTACTTATTAGTCTACTATGCAGAACCTTGTCAAAGGCTTTACTAAAATCCAAATAAACAACGTCTACTGCACTACCAATCTTTTTGATAGCTTCCTCAAAATAATCAAGTTTGAGAGACACGATTTTCCTTGCAGAAAACTGTGCTATCACTAAATCAATTTTTGCCTCTCTAAATGTCCATAAATCCTATCTTTTATAATCGCCTCCAAAAATTTACCTGTAATTGAAGACAGACTCACAGGTCTATAGTTTCCAGTTTCTCCTTACAACCTTTCTTAAACAAAAGGCACAACATCTGCCACTCTCCTCCAATCATCAGGCACTTCACCCATGGTTACAGATGATGCAAATATTTCTGCAAGGGGTCTCGCAATTTTCTCCCTTACTTCCCACAACATTATGGGATACATTAGATCAGATCCTAAAGATTTATCCACATTTATAGTCTTTAAGGCCACCAAACTTGCTCTTCTGTGACGTGAACTGTTTTTAAAACACAGTTTATTTCTGTGTTCTCTAGTCTCCATTTTTTCCTCCATAATACGTTCCGATACGAAATATTAATTTATTATCTCTCTCACCTCCTGGGGTTCAACACAAAGATGACCTCCTTGATCTTTAAGGGGATCTACCCTCTCTCTAGTTTCCCTCTTGCTCTTAATGTATTTGTAGAATCTTTTTGGGTTATCCTTAACCTTATCTGCCAATGCTCTCATATTCCCTCTTTGCCTTCCTGATTTCTTTCTTAAGAACGCCCATACACTCTTTATATCGATTAAGAGATTCAATTGAACCAAAATAAAATTCTTTCATTCTTGACTAGAACCTCAATGTCTTTATTCATCCACTGTTCCTTAATCTTACCAGCCTTACCGTTCACTAACAGGAACATAATGCCTCTGAACTAGTCATCACACTCTTGAAACCTCCCACTTGTCAGACGTCCTTTTACCTGCAAACAATCTACTCCAATCAACTTTTGAAAGTAAATTTTGCCTTACTTCAATTAAAAGCTTTAACTTTTGTGGAATGTTTTATCCTTTTCCAAATTCTATTAATTTCAAAATGGTTCCGATTGCTAGACCAAAGTGTTCCCCCACTTTTACTTCAGTTACCTGCCCTGCTTTACTGCCCAAAAGGTCTAGTTTTGCTCCTTCTCTAGTTGGAGTATCCACATATTGATAAATAAAATTCTCTTGAACACATTTGACAAGTTCTTCACCATCCAAACCTTTAATAGTATGGTAGCCCCAATCAATGTTTGGAAAATTAAAATCCCCATTATTACAACCTTATTATGCTGACATATCTTGAGATCTCCCTCCACATTTGCTTCTCAATTTCCCTCTGACTATTGGGGGATCTACAGTACAATCTCAAGGCAATCTTTCCTTTTGCACCCATAAATTTTCACTGGATGATTTTTTTTTTTTTTTTTTTTTAAGAAATATATTCTCTGGTTACAGTAGTAACATATTCATTAAATCAAAAACACCACTCCCCCTCCTTTCTTGCCTCTTTCCCCATCCTTCCTGTAGCATCTCAAATCCAGAACATTGAGCTGCCAGTCTTGTCCATCTCTCAGCCAAGTAATAGTAATTTCTGTAATAGTTATGATGCCCCAATCCCATGTTCTTAAACATGCCTCGAGTTCATCAGCCTTACCTGCAAGGCCCCTTGCACTGAAATAAGTGCAATTTAGTTCTTCAGAGTTACTAAGTACTCTGACTCTCTTGTCTTTTTCTAACTGACGTGCTCTCTTTGCATTCAGAACTTTCCCCATGATTCTATTTACACTACTACGTAGAATTCCTCCACTCCCCCTCTTTCAGTATAAAATCTCCCTTAACGGAACGAGCAAATCTCCCTGCTAAAATATTGGTCCCTTTTTAGTTCAGGTTAGACCCATCCTTTTTGAACAGGTCTTTTCTATCCCAAAGGATATTCCAATTGTCTAAAAACCCAAATCCCTGTACAATACACAGCCTCTTCAGCCCTCGGCTTATTTCCTTTATCCTTTTGTTCCCTTGTAATGCTAGCCTGCTTCACAGTTTCACAGTTCAATAGATGTCCCCTGCTCTTTATTCTAAATCTCATATTCAATCTAAACATCATTGTCCACTTGTTCCATAACGGATTTCAGATACTCTATTGCTGGTGACCATTGTTGTAACTTCCTAAACCTACACTCCTTAACATTTTCATCTATCCCTCCTTATAAAATGCTCTGTAAAAGGTTTTTGGCTCATATGTTCAAATTTCTCCTGGTGCTTTGGCCACTATTGGAGGAACAGAGCACTCAAGTCAAACAGCAACTTGATAAGTGGCTTTATTCCTGGTTGCCAAGAAACAGCTACATTCACCAGATCATCTCCAACAAGAAATACACTAACTGTTTTCTATGACATTCAATGGCATTAAAATTTAGCGAATTTCCATTATTGGCATACCAGGCTGGTTACAATGTCCAGAAACTGAACTGGACTAGCCAGAAATAAACTGTGGCTACAAGGGCAGGTCAGAGGCAGGAAATTCGGCAGTACGTAACTCACACTCTGACTCACCAAAACTTCTATTTCTATTGACCTATCCTTTAACCTTTCATTTTAGCCAGTTCTGCTTTAATGTCCTCATAACTCCCTTTAAAATTTGAAATAAAGTCTAAGATCAGATCCATTCCTCTCTCGATCAAACTGCAAGAAAAATTCAATATTATCGATGCTGCTACCAGGGGTCACCTTCACAGAGATCCTTTCTTATTGTACAACATCAAGTATAGCCTGTTCTCTGGTTGGTTCCTAAACACACTGTTCCAAGAAACAATCCTGGCAATATTACATTAGCTCATCTAGGTTACGTTTGTCCATCTGACTTTTCCAGTTCTGTATGTAGATTAAAATCTCCCATGATTATTGCCAGGTCCTTCAGACAAGCTCTCATTATTTCTTCCTTCATGTTCTGATTAGTGAGGGGGCCTGTACTCCATTCCCACAAATAACTTCTGCTTGTATTATTTCTCATTTTTACTAAAAACCTTTCTATATTTTGCTCTCCTGTACTGAGGTCATCCCTCTTTACTGTGCTAATGCCACTGACTACATTGCACATTCCACATTGTCACAATTTCCTGCATGCTTCAAGATTCTGGTCCCAATCCAGGACACACTGCAGTCACATCTGTAATGGTCATCAGATCATACTTATTCATTTCAGTTTATCTATACATTTCAAAATTCCACATGCATTCAGACAGAGCTTTTAGTTTTATCTTTTTACTGTTTGTAAATTAAAACCATATCTGTTGAGTTAGGTCTTCGATTTGCATTTTTGTGGGGCCAGCACCCCATGAACTGGGGATATCTTCCATGTACTGTTTGATCCCCACATTAATCTAATTTATAATCTGATCTGCCCTACATCAATTTGCATTTTGCTCAAGTGATAACATAAATGATTCATTTTGAGGTGTTTCTTAATTTGGGTCCTCATAGTGACTATGAAGAACCTTTTTATTTGTCCTTTCTGTGTGACTGGTACCTATTCAGACTAGGATAACTGGATCCTCCTTCTCCCATTTAAGTTTCTCTTTAGCCATGACCAGATGTCCTAAACCATAGCACCAGGAAGGCAACATAGCGATCTAGATTTGCACTCTTTCTGCACAAAACTGTGTCAATGCCCCTCACTTTGCTGTCCCCTAATAGCTCTATGTTCTTTCTTAAAATGCACCATTCCCCCCACCCCATATTACTACCTGCACTATGGTGCCATTGTCAATTGGCTCATCCACCCTGTAGTTGTTGTTCTCACCCAGAAAAGCTGAAAGAACCTTAAAACAACTGAGAACAAAATCAAAAATTTAGAAAGGCTGGGGCTCTTACACTTTTGCCCTCTGGGCTCCTTCACACTCAGTCACCAGTGCCTGAACATTGAGCAAAATTATTTAACACAAGCCCAACAGTTGTGACTGCCTCCTGGTAGAAAAAATTTGGGCAACTTTCCCTCTCCTGATGTGTTAGAGTGTTTGGCATTCAGCTTCCAGCTCAAACTATGAACCGAAGCTGCTCGAACCTCAAATATTTTCTGGAAACCTATTTGTGCTGGACCAAACTGGTATCAAAGAACTCCCATTTGCCCGAAGTGTGACATATCAGCTGTCCTGACATCCTTAGTGTTCTATCAAACTATTTAACTAAATACAAAATCAAACTTAATTATGTTTTTACATATTTTATTAACCAGACCACCGTTGCTATACTATGTCAAATCTTAGGAGCAGAATCATTCTTAATCACTTATTTAATACTGACCAAATAACCAGCATCTTCGCCTGTAGCAGAGTAAGATTCAATTCCTGAGAATGAAAAAGTTTAGGAAAAGCAAAAACTAAAATAATACCACCACATTCCCTTCCACCTCTTCACATCCTTTATCACTTAACTCCTGTGTTCCAACATAGGTCACACTCGAGTGCTAAGCCTCATTAGGTTGACTTGTTACATGTTCCCAAGACAAAAGGCCTAGCTGACGCACTCAGCGAGGATTCAATTTTAGCTGATTCTTAAATTAAGCTGCTCTTTCACTGGAAGCCTTTCATAACCATATTCAAGCTGGTAACTACGAAATTTAAACTGCAGATTTCAGTTTAATGTCAACTACAAAGTAATCTAGTTTTGTACACAATAAAAGTTTAGATTTCTTAACCAACGACTGCACTCATCTACTAGCTGAGAAAACTATTCTTTTCAAAAACCTTATTTCCACTCAAAGTTCAAGTGTGTTTCATTTTTCTCTGCAGAGCCCAGAAATTTAACTAAGCCAAAAGATTCAAAAAAGCCGTGAGCCACTTTGATAGTCCTCCATTAGGTTATCTTCCACTCGAAACCTCTCTATCCAGAAATGGTAGTATGCATACCTGATTGGGAGTTTCTAGGTGCTTTACTGTTACAGGGAAAACCTTTCCAGGTAAAGGCAATAATGGATAATCATACTCTGGCACCATAAAGGTTTCAAAGCGTGAGGACAGCAAATCCTGTGAACACAGACACCCAACATATTAGATCATTGCTTTATGACCAACTCATTCCAGATACTTTCTACTGCAATTGAGAGATATTAATGCTGTAATATCAGTTTAAAGGTCCGACAGTCGCAGCAGCTAAATATAGAAAACAACTTAAAAATAATGATGCTTCTCTTACATGACCAGCATGGTGGCTCAGTGGTTAGCATTGCTGCCTCACGGCACCAGGGACACTGGGTTTCATTCCAGGCTCAGGCAACTGACTGCATGGAATTTGCACATTATCCCTGTGTCTGCGTGGGTTTCCTCCAGGTGCTCCGCTTTTCTCCCACAGTCCAGCAGTGTGCTGGTTAGGTGGATTGGCCATGCTGAATTGCCCATAGAGTCCAATAATGAGCAGGCTAGGTGGATTAGCCATGGGAAATGCAGGACAGGGATTTGGACATGGTGGTGTGCGTGTGCGCGCGCGTGCGTGCTGGATGGGATGCCCAATGGACAGTCTGAACTTGATGGGCCAAAACGGCCTGCTGGTCCCACATTGTAGAGATTCTATGATCTTATGATTCACTCTACACAATTCCCAGTGGTTTGCTCTTGTAATTATCTAAATAAAATTTCTGTTAGAAGCACTAGAACAAAAGTGACTTAAAGTTCAGCTCGTTCACTTCCAGTAATCACATGATATAAAACACACCATAATGGAGCTGTTAATTAATCCACAGGAGGAGACACAAAGCAAGGGAAACCTCAGCTGTCAAATGCTTTGGTAACCCTTAGGTCCAAAGTCCACCAGGTTCCTTTCAAGAGTACTATACTAGTGAGGCACCTCTATTCAGAATGGTTAATTTAACATTGGCCTGAATCTTCTGAGAAGTGGCGACTATCATACTGCTGCTTCACTCATAATTTACTCCTTCCCACAATAGAGCTCCAAACTTCTGACCAGGAGTTCCAAAACCAACTGCTTCATAAGTATGGAGCATAGTTTTAATCAGAATCCTTTATAGAGAAGCCAAACTCTACACACTTGACAGTACCAGCTGCCATATTCCACTGTATTAGAAAGGGCATCTGGGTGTCTTTGGATCAGCATGGATAAGATGGGCCGAATGCCCCTCTTCTTTGCTTCATCATTTCTATGGTTCTGCTGAGTGTTCATTCATTCAGCTTTGGGGATCTAAACAGGTTTTTAGTGGATTAGTGTTGGCAAGGTAACTGGGCAGGGTTTAAGTCAGTTATAGTCCAAGCTAGTTATTTAGAAACTATACAATCAGAGATGGTCCAAGCAATGATCAAATTTAAAATTATGTAAGGTTTTCTTATTAGGTGTGTGTCGATGTACCTAAATCACATGGACTTTAAGTTCCAAAAGGCGGCCACCACTATCTTCAAGGTCAATTAAAAACGGGCAAGCCCTCACGCTATGAGCAAATAAAACTGAATCCAATTTTATTCCACTAGATTCTCATATGGTTATGGTCAGCCCACCTGAACAACCTGGGATGCCCTGGATGGATTCACCAACACCAATGCTTTGTTTTGGTATTATTCTAAGTTATTACTATCACATTGGAAAAGCTGTCCACACAACGTCTTAAGCAGAAGACAGGCTTGATCTTCGTCAAACAGAACAGGTTTAATACCTAGTTACATTACATCTCAAATACAACTCGTGTAAGTTCACACTGCTACTGAAGCATTTTCACATTGCATTGGATCAAGCAGAGAACCAGAAGCAGGACTGGTCAGCTCCTCTCAGGAGCAGTCCTTTATGTCCTTCTGGGAGAACCCTTCTCATGGTGCCAATTATCCCTTTCAGAGATGAACTACCTTAGACTACAAATTTTGTCAGTCATATTCTATCACTTGTTTTTGGAACAAGTTCAATTAATCATCACACCTTCTCAATTTGATTAACTTTGTTTATTGTGTAGCACTTCACATCTTTTTAACCAATACAATAGAATCCCTACTTTCAATGCTTTATATTTTTGAGACAGACGTTTAATTAAAGAGGGGAAACTACTCTCTCAATCTCTAAGGAAACCAAGACAATCTCGGTCTAGAAACTAAAACTTTTGGGAACAGTAACTGTTTGAAAAAGAACATAGCCAGAGTTTAGATGATGATCAGATTCAGGGTTGCAGTGCAGGTAGGTGAAAAAAAAAAGAGGGTTGATCCAGAAGCTGATATATAATTTCACCAGCTATCACTGTTGCCTGAACAGTAGTAATCTAGTCCACCTGAACTGCAGTAAGCAAAGTAGAGAGATCAAACAGGCACATGCCTTTTTTGGTGAAGACTGTGCCTGTGAAACTTGGGTTGGTTGTGTGCTGCTGTTGGGTGAGAATCAGACTAAATCTTGGAAGAACAGCTGACATTTTTCCTGAGAAAGACTAGTATTGATGGACTCTGACTGAACTTGATCGCCCATATGCTGCAAATGATGAGCCAACTTGCAAGATCTGTCTTGTTGCATTTTCCATGTATTTTATAATTTACTGTAACTTGCCTATTAATTCATACAATTTCTATTCTGAGTTTCAACATACAAGTAGGCAAGATAGATAGTATTTTGTGTTTGTGTTTGTTTTATTTGACTCTTAGTTTAATCAAAATAAATTTTACTATCCATCAAATCTTGCAGCCTCATTCCATCAAGAAGTGACTAGGATTTAGGATCTTTTCTTATAAAAAAAGAACTGGTCTTGATTAAGATCAAAACACCATGCTTTGAAAATCTAGTCAAGATCTGTGCATTTTCAATATTTTCTGTTTCCATTTTGACCTAAGCAAATAACTTCAAGAAATAATATATAAATTCAATCTACATGACAATAGAGACCATAATTTAAACAATTTTCTGCTGAGCCAGGAATCCTGGCAAAATTATAATTATTGCCTACCCTTTTCTGTTTTAAGGCAATAATGAGCCTTTATTTGATGGTAGAGTACCCTACAAAGACCACCTAAAAGGTGGTACCAAAGATCAGAAAGAGAGCTAGCATCACTCATACATGATGGGATGAAGCTGCTGGTCTAAAGATGGCACTACAGGCTGAAATATAAGATACAAAACCCTGTACAATTCCAAAGTTTATTTTAGTTTGAAGTTGATCTGTCTTCTTGGCAGCATTCCTCTCCTCCTGATCTCTTAGCAGCATCTCTCTTTCACTCCCTCTATAGCCTCCCAACCTTTCCCTTACTATCAGGGAAGAAAAGGAGGCTGGCTTCTGATGCAGCACCATCACGTGTATCGTTTTTGCCCCTGCTCTCTCTCTAGCCCTGGCATCTACTGCAACTTCCTGGACCTATCAGCAGCAGTGCAGGTGGTGATGTCATCATCACTGAACTCAGCATATGCAAATGTTTACTGTGACCTGTCCTATTATAGTGAAGTAACATGTCACTACACAAGCATGGAAGCCTTTTTGTTTTGAATACTCACCTCGTTACTTAATTTGTTGCAGTCCTTGTGCATTTAGTGCTTCCCTGATTATACTAAGTATAGAATTTCACATAAATGTAGTGATAAAAGAAAACAGCAATCTATGCACAGGCCAAGATGCTGCTGGTTTTGCCCTTATAATGGTCACAAGACTCGGAGGTGCTACTGAAATAAACTTGGCAAAATAAGACTGTACACAAATAGTGGTGCACATTGCAGCCAGAGTCTGGAGTAGGACGTGGAGCTGTGTCGATCAGATCATTTTGCAGCCAAGTGAGAATATAATCAAACTGAGTTGACCATTGTACCTGGTAGAGGGGTAATGACCTGTTAGGAGACAAGATATCTTCTTACCCACTATTGCAGCCACCGTGCTGATACACCTATGATAGATATCAAGGTGAAATCAATGAAGAAGTTTGAATCTTTATGCAAATCACTACAATCCGTTTACATAATCTACAGCAAGGCTTGCCAAAATGGGTGTCAGGACTCCAAGAGTTTCAAGCTAAAGTTTTAGTGCCCTGAGATCCATTCTGTGGCAATGGCTACCACAGAACACAGTCCCTTTCTCCCCTCTCCCAACTGCCCTCAGATTCTCCCCCTGTGCGCCCTTTTCTCATAGGTCTGCTGCTCTCTAAAACACATCCCCTAACTCTCAGACCTCATTGTGGGGTTGCAACAATTTCAAGAAACAAAATGGGGTCACAGTGGGAAAATATTTGGGACACATTGACCTAAAGCTTTAAAAAAAAAAAAAAAAAATCAGCAAAGCAACGCCATAATGCAAAAATATAGTCAATAAACAACTTGGTTGAGTTTTCATTAAAAAGTGGTTACAAATAACAATTGATGAAAATCCACTATTTTGTTCACATTCTGCAACTTTTTACCTCATGCATCAAATCCCAACTTTCTTCAGTTTCATTTCCATCATTTAAATTCAGACAAAATTTCTATGAAAGAGAAAGTAAATAAGTTTATCTGTTGTTTTACATTATGTAGCACATATGCAAAAATAACTGCTAATTGTTTGCTGTCAACATGACAGATGTTAATACATAATGAGCTATATGCAGGAATGGAAAACAGAATTTAAGCTCCAAGTAATATTTAAGACCATTAGACATAGGGGCAAAAATTTGGCCATTCGGCCCGAGTCTGCTCTGCCATTCAATCATGGCTGATAAGTTCCTCAACCCCATTCTCCCGCTTTCTCCCCGTAACCCCTGATAATCAAGAACCTATCTATCTCAGTCTTAAATGTACTCAATGACCTGGCCTCCACGGCCTTCTGTGGCAGTGAATTCCATAGATTCACCACTCACTGGCTGAAGAAATTTCTCCTTATCTCTGTCCTAAGAGGTCTTCCCTTTACTCTAAGGCTGTGCCCTAGTCTCTCTTACAAATGAAAACATCTTCCCAACATCCACTCTGTCCAGGCCATTCAGTATTCTAAGTTTCAATTAGATCCCCCCTCATCCTTCTAAACTCCAATGTGTTTAGTCCGAGTCCTCAAACGTTCCTCATATGTTAAGCATTCCATTCCTGGGACCATTCTTGTGAACGTCCTCTGAACCCGCTCCAGGGCTAGTACATCCTTCCTGAGATATGGGGCCCAAAACTGCATGCAATATTCCAAATGTGGCCTGACCAGAGCCTTATAACACCTCAGGAGTACATCCCCGCTTTTATTTTCAAGTCCTCTCAAAATAAATGCCAACATTGCATTTGCCTTCCTGACCATTGACTCAACCTGCAAGTTTACTTTGAGAGAATCCTGGACTAGAACTCCCAAGTCTCTTTGCACTTCAGACTTCTGAATTTTCTCCCCAGCTAGAAAATAGTCCACACTTTTGTTCTTCTTACCAAAGTGCATGACCTCACACTTTCCCATGTTGTACTCCATCTGCCACCTCTTTGCCCACTCTCTTAACCTGTCCAAATCCTTCTGCAGCCTCCCCACCACCTCACTTTGTATCATCTGCAAACTTAGCCAGAATGCCCACAGTTCCTTCATCTAGATCATTAATATATAAAGTGAAAAGTTGTGGTCCCAACACTGACTCTTGCGGAACATCACTTGTCACCGGCTGCCATCTTGAGAAAGACCCTCTTATCCCCACTCTGGCTGTCTGGCAGAAAGCCAATCTTCCTTCTATGCTAGCACCTCGACTCTAACACCGTGGGCCCTTATCTTACTCAGCAGGCTCCTGTGCGGCACCATTTCTTTAGGAATGAACAGGCAATGCTAGTGCCTACATCCATACAATTATAAGTGAAATCACAATTTTATGTCTGGGTCTAACCTTTTTCCTGGTCTGGCACTAACCTCTTTCCTAGTCTGGTTACAAGTACATTTGCAAAATACAGCTTGGGATTCAAATATTTGAGACTGCTAAAACAGCCTAATAGTGCTTTGAGATCTGTCATCACTCTTCATTGTGACAATCTCAAAAGTCTCAATGAACACTTATCCATAAGATTGTAACAATTTTTGTGAAGATCCCATCTGCTTTTAAACAGACTCGATGTGAATTCTATAACGATGTTGTGTGTTCTGGGAAAGTGAAACTTTCTATCTATCCTAGCTTAAAACCATCACCAGCAACAGAGGCACACTCATGGAATTACATCCCAAGATGCTTTAAAAGCGGTTCAAACCAAACCACTCAAGGTCCTATAAGATCAAGTGACCAAAAGATTCTAAGGAGTATCTTATATTGTGTTAGGTGGTTGGTGGGGCATAGAGGCTTTGGGGATAATTACTGAGCTTGGGATCTAGGCCGCCAAAGGCATGCCATCCTTTGTGAAGCAATTCAAGGTAAGAAATCGGGTCAAAGGTTTTTTTTTTAAATTAAAGTATTATAGTACTAGAAAGGCTGTCGAGAGGAAAGAGGAAGGCGCCAGTGGAACATTGAAACACAGTCAGAATTCTGAAATCAAGACTTTTTTTTAAAAAAACCAGGCAACAATCTAGCTTGGTGTAGACAAACACGAAGAACAAACAAGGCTGAATGCGAGTTACTGGCAGTGCTTTAGAACAGCTCAATTTTATGGTGTAAAGTGGGAATCTGGCAAGGGCGGCACAGTGGCAGTGGTTAGCACTGCTGCCTCACAGCACCAGGGACCTGGGTTCGATTCCACCGTCGGGCCACTGTCTGTGGAGTTTTCACGTTCTCCCAGTGTCTAAGTGGGTTTCCTCTGGGCGCTCCGGTTTCCTCCCACAGTCCAAAGATGTGCGGGCTAGGTGGATTGGCCATACTAAGTTGCCCGTAGTGTTCAGGGATGTGTAGATTAGGGAGATGCTCAAAGGGTCAGTGTAGACTTGTTAGGCCAGGGGGCCTGTTTCCATATGTAGGGATTCTATGATCTATGAGAGCATTGCTGTCAGATCTGCGAAGTATTTCTAGCACTGTTTACATTTCAGAACATTGATTCGTGCCTTTGTTACCTCTAGACTTGACTATTCTAGTGAAGGATCAGTGATGTCGTCCCAAGTCAGGATGGTGAGAGACTTGGTTGAGAAATTGCCCGTGACAATGTTCCCATGCACGTGTTGTATTTGTTCTTCGAGGCGGTAGAGGCTGTGTGATCGGAAGGTGCTATCAAAGTTGTTGATACATTGCATCTTCAACACTATTGCCACTGTGCAATGATATTATGCACTCATTTGAAAACAGGTGAGCTCGCAGTGTCAGAATTTGTAATCTGATGGTCAGCAGACACTTCCTTAACGTCTGCACAAAACTACAGATGAGGAGGGATACTTGACCATGGTCAGTCAGATAGGATGTCACTTGTGACTTTGATTAGTGTGTAGCAGATACAGAAACATGATTTTGTTAAGTTTAAATACAGAGTTATTTTGGAGGCAGACGGAGATTTGGGATGCAACAGCATGCTTAAGGACTTGAAAGAGAATAAAGTTGAAGATGGGTTGGCAGTTTGAAACAGCAGCGGGTTCAAGGCTTTGTTTTTTGCACAGGAGGTTAATAGTAGGTTTGAAAGGGGAGTTGTGTGAATTGTTAACATCATCTAACATGCAGGCCTTGGAGGGAAATTGAAAAGTCTGCCATTTGTTGGGAGTAGGGTCAAGAGAGCAAGAGGTAGGATTCTTGACAAGATGAGCTCCAAGAGGGCATGTGGAAGATTACAAGAGAAGCTAAACACGCAAGTATAAACTTAGGGATTTAGAGGGGAGACTTGACTTTGCAGTTTAGAGAAAAGGCTGGAAACAAAGGATAGCTGTTTGAATGATGTAACTTGAGGTAATGAAGTTACTTGTTACTGGAGATGAACATAAAGGAGACAGCTAAGGAGGGTCAAAGACAACTGTTTATTGTGGAAAAGAGAAGATAGGAGTAATCGGCATCACAAAATGATAGCAAGACCTAATAATGCTTTACGTAGTCCAACCAAATCTGATAACTATGCCTAACAGCAGGTCTCTGCCATGTATGTTCAAGTCTACATTCTTTGCTCTGCAGGGAGTAAAAAAAGGCCTCCTCTGGCAGAGATGATCAAGCAGAGACAGAGACAGAGTAACAGAGGCATGGGGCAATCAACAAACTGACTGCCAATATCCCATATTAATTTAGTCCTTGAACTGGGCAAACCAATTAACTCATCCGTGCGATAGCAAGAACTACAGATGCTGGAGTCAGAGAAAAGAGTGTGGAACTGGAGAAACACAGCAGGCCAGGCAGCAGAGGAACAGGAAAGCTGACGTTTTGGGTCAGGGCCCTTCTTCAAAAACTCATCCATGCACTGTTTTTGTCCACAAGCATTTTACATTTAAGGCATGACTTTTTACATTATGTTGGAAGTTTCTCCCAACCAACTTACAAAATACTCATTTATTTCAACATGTGCATCTTAAAAGGCATCTTGACCATTACGTGGATAGGCTGAAGCTGGGACTGTTCCAATTAAAAGCAATTGAGGAGATTAGATGGGCGTGTGCAAAATCATGAAGCATTTGAACAGAACAGATAGAGATAAACTGTTCTCATTGTCCTCTGTCCTTTGAGTCTTCTGACATGGTTTAAGATGAATGGCCAGGATCTAGAGTGGACTGCCTGTGTGGTCAAGGCAGATACAATCATTGCTTCAAAAAGGAAATTAGATAAATGATCAGAAGACATTCACAGGGCTACAGGCAAAAAAGGTCAGAAGTGGACTAGGCAAGTTGCTCAGACAGCCAGTACGGATAGAACAAACCAAATAAGAACAAAAGAACTAGGAGCAAGAGTAGGCCATTGGACCCTACAGCTCCACTTATCTACCCTCTCGCCATAACCCTTAATTCCCTTACTGTTCAGAGAATTCTCTCTCTTAGCTATAAAAACATGCAATGAGGAAGCCTCAATTACTTCACTGGGCTGGGAATTACACAGAT